CTAAACACATTGGATGGGGCTACTTAATTTGCTTTTATGATCATCGTTAACATTATCTTTATTTATTTATTTATTATTATTATTATTACAATCACATATTAGCTAAATCAAACAACAAACACCACTACAAAGTCATGTCAGGCAAAAGTGGTAACGTTGTCAAGTGCAGTTTAAGGTTCGGTCAATCATTCAAAACTTTTTTTTTTGTTTGTTAGAAAAATGTAATTCCAACTAATGTTGCACTAGCATGGTCTTGTTATTATAATGGAATTGAAACAGTGGTTTCTAATTAAAATCTGTAATCATAAATGAATGCATATTACTTTTTTTTTCTATAAATAAAAGTGTCAGGTTATAAGTTTATTATAAAATATTTAGGTTAATTATATCGATATTTTAGAATTTAGATCGTTATGATTTTAATTATAAAAATATTTTTTATAAATTAAAAAACATTTATAAAGTATTTCTAATTTTAATGTTTAAGTGATAAAAAACTTATAAATATATATTATTAATTTCATTCTATTTGAAGATTAAGGAACAGGAAAAGATTAAAATTCTATTTTTAATTTATTGTAAATGTTATTATAAAGTCTAAAAATAAGAGTTTTTTAAAATCATATGATAATATGAATTATCATATTAGAATTTTAATCTATCATAATTAAATTAAAATTTTATATTATGTTGATGAACTAACTATTTATCCTGCAAGTAAAAAATGTGTTATACACAATGAGGAAAAATGTAATGTATTTTATAGATTTTTTATTTTAAAGATAGTTGTAATTTTTAAACCAAACAATTAAATATAATTCATTTTCCAATATTTTCTAGTATTTTATTTCTATTATATAATTCTATTATTGTTAATGCATTAAAGATTTTTTGTTAACTTTCTTTTTTTCAGTATAATAAACCTGACTTCAAATATATGAGATTTATAGTTTGAAAATGAAGACTCATTAATTGGGTTTTTTTTTCTATACCTTTTGGTATATTCTTTGTATTTTTTTTAGTTTGGAGACATCAGTTATAATGGTCAAAATATGGATCCAAAAACACATTGTTGTATAAACCGTCACAAAAGAAATACATATTATTTTTTCATTGTATATCTTATAAAATTTGTCTAAAGTGTATAACTATTATTAATTTAAAATTTATTGAATGGTTTTTGTTATCATCGTTAAGAACACTACTACAAAACACATCATATGTGTCTGCATTTTTGTTATTATTATTTATTTTAATGTATTAAAATTTAACATATATATTGATTTTAAAATGAAAAATATTTTTTTATAAAATTATGATTTATTAGAGATAAATAATTGTAAGGTAATTTTAAAAAATAAAAAGTACAAAAATATGTATTAAGAAGAGTACAAAATAATGTATATTTTTTGTTATTTTATATTTGAAAATTTATAAGAAATATGATTAAAATAAATAGAAAAAAATAAGATATAATATAATATAAATATAAATTATTTTTTTCTCTAACTAGAAAAATATTATAACAAATCTTTTATATATAACTATAGATAACACGTATCATTCCAATTTAATAGATTTTTAAAACATAATTACTATCACAAATTTTAAAAATATTATATATATATATATATATATATATATATATATATATATATATATATATTCTATAGCATATATATTAATGTTTATAATCTTATAATTAAGAAAAAAACTTCATTTGAGAATATTATATAATTAAGATAAAATTCAAAACATTTTTTAAATATTATTAATTACTTTTAATTTATTATTACTTTATTTAATATTAATTTGAATATTAAAGTGTTACTTACAAGTGCACTTTCATTTAATATTAAGTTCATTCTTATAAGCTTATTATTTATTAATATCAAGTTTGTTTTTTTGTTGATGTTTGCTGTTTGATTCATGGAAATAAATAAATAAATAATATAACTCATCTCATTAATAATTTGAGAACTTTTAATTTTTTATATAAAACAAATCTTATATTTAAATCTATGGATTTTCATATGAGGATATGGAAAAAGGCCATTGACGGATAAAAACAAAAGTCTTAGCCCAATTGCATCAAGACTTTCTACAAGGACATTTTCATTGGATGTGATATTAATTAAATAAACTATTTATTTATTGAATTAAAGTTATTAATGTTTTATAATTATGGATATTATCATATTTTTATATTTTTTGTTCTAAACACATGAAAAAAATATTATTTTTTATAAAAAATTAAAGATTTTGATTTACTCTGTGAGGTACACAATGACAAAACCTGGTTTTCTTTCCTTACATAGATAAAAACTGAAAATTTAGATATCCATATAAAACTATTAACGAGAAAAATATTAAACTTACATTTTTATTTGAAAATATTGAAAAAATATGTTATACTATAACCAATTAAAATTTAATAAATGAACAATTTATTACCTAATTATTATGGATAATAATTACAATTAAAGACGAAGGCAATTATATCAACTAATCCCAATCCATTAATGACATAGCCATATACTTCAGGTAGTATTATTACATTTTTGAAAAATGGTTTCAAGAATAAATCATTATAGGGATATTTATAGGATAAGTTTATTTAAATTCTAACCCCACAAATTTTGAATTTTTTTAATTTGGACCAAAACATAAAAAAAAATATATATTTGATTTCTTTAGTTTTTAAAAATATATTTAAAAATCAAATTTTACAAAATATTTTTGAAATTCCGTTAAAAAAATAAACTTATTTGATAATATTGGTTTAAGAATTATTTGAGAGAAAAAAATGACTGCATGGAATACAAAAAGTTTCAACATATATTAAAAAGTATTTGTATAATTTTATAGTAATAAAAACGATCGAAATATTATAATTATAAATAAAATTGTGAATATTATTATTACAAATACAAATATTTTAATATTGCACCTCCTCTATCATCGTATCATTCTCCATTGATCCAAAGGTTCATGATGATTATTATTGATACTTCGTTAAAATAAGATATTATTTATTAGAGAAGCCTTTGTATACAAATCATTTACTATTATAGATAAAGTTGTTTTGATAAGTTTATCTTATATAATAATAATGTTTGATACTTTCATGCAATTTTAATGTTTGTCTCACAAGGCTTTTTTTTTTTTAATATATATTAAATTTAATGTTATAAACTCATGTTCTAAAATGTCATTTGAATAGAAAATGTTTGTATCTTAGATATAAAACAAAGAAGGATAACATATGTAATTGAAATAATATAGAAAGTGAATATATATATATAAACATGTTAAAATTATCTTCGGTTTAAGATAGAACCATTAACACTTTAAACCATCTTATTTAAAGATAGATCCATGATTAACTTGATTTATCGAAAAGATTAAAAACATAACAAATAAGAGAAAATATATTAAAGGAAATTAAATCCATAATAATAAAGCAATTGATCAATAATAATAAATAAGTATAAAAAAAGTTAAATATCTTAATATTTTAAATATCATTCGTCAGTTAATTTTTTATCTATTTTTTCTTTTGATGGTTTATTGTTATTATATTTTAATTTGAAATGATGATCACATATTTTGATATTATTTTTAACTCAAAATTTAAAAAAGTATAGATTTATGAATTTATCTTTCTTTTTTTATAATGTGAGACTCTATAGTTTACATTTTTAAGTTTTGTAATTTTTTTTATTGTTCAAAATAATTTCAAACAATATTTGTATGGATTGAATGATAAAAAATAATTAGTGAAAGAAAAAGATGAAAAAAATATAAAAAAAGCAAGAAATGAGTGAAAATAAAATTATTTTGATTAGAAAAAGAAGAAAATATTTTTATTATAATATTATCATATTTATATTATTTATATAATAATAATATTATTATTTATTTATTATATATAATTAAAAGAATATTTGAAATAAAAACAATTTTGGCTATGTTCATCCCGTAATTAATTAAGTGGTTATTTTGAATAACATTTCAATATCTCACCATGATTTTTTGTGATTTTTGCTTCATTCATTTGTAAATAGAATATAAAAATATAAATTATTCATCAATTTTGTCATTATATACTTTAGATATTGAGAAATATTCGTGTCATTTACATCATATTGAATCTATGAACAAAATTTTGATTATCATCAGGAAAAGATTTTTCTTGAGCCAAAAAAAACTCATAAATTCTAAACTCTAAAAAGCCAACATGAAAGCTTTTTATCTCATATATTTTATATAATCCAATCTTAATAAAATGATTTTTTTATGATTTTTTTAAATATAAGAAAACCTATAATAACAAGTGTGTCAAAGGTTTTCTCGGTATAGAAAAAACATTCATTCACATATTCACGTTTCTTTACTATTCGATAATTATAATGAGTTTTATGTTATATATATACATGAGAAATTTAAGACTCTTACCATTTTTTTTAACGTGTATGAATATCTTATTTATCAACATTACATAAGAAACTTTTTTTAATATCATTTATATTTTTTTATTAGTGTCCTATGATCAAATATTAGAATGATTAATATTGTTAATGTATAAGAAATAAAAAAAAGTGTAAAAATCACTATTGAATATTTAAAGTTATGATAATACGATATTGAAAATTATATAAAAATAGAAAATAAATTATATAAAAAATAATATTTAATACAATAATAGAAGGTAAAATATTTCATTTCTTACATAAGTCTCTTCCATGAAACAAATGTCAGATTTCTTATGATGCAATTTTATTTACACATGCCTCCAAAATCATGATGGGTGGGTTATATATGATAGGAGAGGAAAATTGAAAAAGAAAGAAAAAAGATTGAATGCCCTCCCCCAATGGCGTTCCATTTTGACCCATATGCCCTGGTGCTCTAGTTTGTTAGCTGCGATTCCCCCTCTCTCTCTCTCTTCATCGCATCACATCACACACAATCAAACCAAAGGAGACTTACGATACGATATGGATAGGGTGTTCTCAGTTGACGACTTCTGGCCATCGACGCCGATCCCCGTCTCCACCGCCGACGAGGCCTCCAAGATGAGCCGCAGTGCGTCCGAGTGGGCTTTCCAGCGCTTCATCCAGGAAGCTTCCGCACCCTCTCCCCCCGCTCCTTCCTCCGCCACCGCCGCCGCTCCTGCCGCCACTCCCGACGTAGTCTTTGTGGAGATCGACGATCATCCCAAACCTGCTCCTGCCCCTGCTCCTTCGCAGAACGCCGCCGTTTTGCCCAATGCCCCTGTTCCCGTGCCCCTTGACTCCGATCAATACCAGGCCTTCCTCAAGAACAAGCTCAACCTTGCATGCGCAGCTGTAGCCATGACTAGGGTAATTATTTACTTCTTCCCCTGTTTTCCTCGTCCAATGTCTGCTTCGCTTCGCCTGTGCGAATTAAACGATTCCATTGGTTCTGATTTGGATCTGTTATGCGTTTTGACCGTTCCTCGTCTGTGGTAAATTATTATGCATGCACTTTTTGTTTACTTAGGAGCAAACGGGGATCCTATCTAATTTTTGAATTAAGGAAACGGCGAATAACACCTCACTGCAAAGTTGTTCTTAAAATCAATTCGCCATTTCAATTCTGAATGCAAAAATTTGAAGACGACCCATAACATGTTCTGGTGCAACTGTTATGTGAGAAGTGAACCACCAATTCGATTAATTCCGGAAGTATTTACCTTCTCTCCTTAATCGTCCTTTAAGTAGAAAAAATTACTTAATAGTCTCTAGAATATTGAAATCCATCAAAACATCAAGGCTTAAGCTGGTGATTCAATATTTATGTATTAATTAAAGGGATTTGATCATATAAACCCACCTGTCTTATAGAGGAGTGCGTTGGCAAATTATAACTATTGTTAATCTTGAAATACATCTTGGTGTAGCTTCGTAACATACTCCTTCTAATGAAACATACACATCCTAATTAAACAAGTGGGCGGTTACCAGCAATTGTTCATAGGTTTTGCTGACAAATCTGGGCGCATCTAGTTAAACTTACTCTTTCTAAAAGACAAGTGGTTTTTCGTTTAGTAAATCTCTTAAAAAGTTGTATTCATAGTTATCTGAATTTTATGATTTTCTAGTCGTTTATCATTGTGACGAATCAACGATTCATATATATATATATATATATATATATATATATATATATACTCATTTCAGCTTAAATTTTTAAAGGAATTGAAAGAATACCAGTGAATTTTCCACTACTTTATTTATCACTCTCTCATTTAATGCTCGTACACTATTTAGCTATGTAATTGCTTCATTTCCATTCTTCCAAAACAAGGTTTTCACAAACTCATATATAACTAATATTTTTTTTATATGTCTTTTGCTTGAATTGTTTTATATGACTTTTGCTTAAACTGTTTTATATACTTCTAGCTTAAATTGTTTACATTGAACACTATACATTGTCTATACGAGATTTGTTCCAATTCCTGGTCTTGTACTCATTTCAAAAGGCTTCATATTCATCTTGCTTTAGCTGCACTCTTCTTTCTGGCAGCAGAAAACGTTTTGAAGTAATTATCATTGTCTCTAAATCTTACGGTTCATAGCAATTATGATTTACAGTTCAAAAATTGATCAGCTATTTATGATTCGATAACCCTTTTTTTATTTTTTTCCCTTTAAGCCCTATGGAAGAGACAAAATAATAGATATATATTACCTGTTTTTGTACTTCATGGGGTACAAACCAATTTCAATTAACCTTCTGAAATTCAGTTCAAAATCATGTGTTTTTCAACAAATAGCTATACAGAAATTAGGATGAAGCATCCAAATAAAGGTCTTCAATGGCTTCCATTAAAGGCTTTATATTTGTACGTGAATTGAACCAGTATCTAATCTTTTTCCCTACTCTCCGTAATAGGCATCTTTGGCTATATCTCAAGAGCAACCCCCGTTTTCGGATGGTGGATCACAGCCTATCGAGCCTTCTCAATCTGGATCTCAGACTACTTCTAAAGGTTTGAATTGGTAAAATTTATGCATAAATGTATTAAAAAGGTTAAATGACAATACAGGGTTAGTAAAGTAGAGTTGCAATGTTGAATGTATAATAAATTAGTAACTATTAGCAGTTGCATAAGTGGGTTAGATGCATAATCTATATTTACCATTTTATTTTGATCAGAACACTATTGTCCTCTTTCACTGATCTGTTTAGTCATATTTTGAGCAGTTTTAGAGGTTGATTTTTATTTCTCTTTGTATGGATAGCACGTATTGAATTATGTCAAACATATATGTCTATGTAGGATCCATTCCTTCTGGAAATGATCCATCTAAGTTACAAGATAAAGATACGAAAGTACCAGTTGGGATGCCTTCCATTCAAAAGAAACCAGCTGTTGCAGTTAGGCCATCAACAAGTGGATCATCAAGAGAACAGTCAGATGATGACGATGCTGAGGGAGAGACATCTATGAATGACATGGACCCTGCTGATGCAAAACGAGTAAGGAGGTAACAATATTCTCAAAATTGCCTGACTTTGTTGTAGAAAATGCTGGTACTTCTTTTATACTCAGGAGGTAAATGTAATATCATGTAATTGTGCTAATAACATGGTTGTTAGTATCGCACGAATTGTGGTCATACGTGTGTGATTCCATATAATTTGAACATCTGGTGATAGAAATCAGTGAGGGAATCGTTTTCAGGCTTGAATTCACACCATGATTCATACCTGAATTGTGATCTGAAGAAGATTAGCATTATTCATGCATAAGTTCTTTAAGTCCTTGTTACACTCCACTCCTCTAAGGGCTGACACTCCTGGCCCGAACACGTTTTATGCTGCTAAGATAAAAGAAAACTGCGGCCAGAGAGGACACGGTGGCCAAAGCACACAAATCATGTTGTGCCGCAGTTCTAACTTCTGTTTCACTCATGGCTGCACTTGCTTCTAACTGGACTGAGTGCATAAATGACTTGATTTACAACCCTAACGGACCTAACCCCTAGATAATAGTGTATTGTATTTTTTTACTTTAGCATTTAGTTGCAAGACATACCGTGTTTTGACATTGACATTGGCCCGGCAGTTTATCCTCTAACTATTCTCATGATATTTAAGTATTTTCTAATGTCAAATAACAGAATTAACTAATATGATAATTTTTTTTTTGTTTCAATCACATCACTGATGATATTTTTCATAAAATACCTTAACTTTATTTAAGGTCTAACCTTTGGTTGCGCCATTATCATCTATACTTTTTGTTATACGACAAATTTGTTTTAGAAGAGTATTAGGGGATAAGTAAAATTTAATGCAGTTAACTGATCTTCTTAATCTTAACAAAAGTTGGTTTATTTTGCGTATAAATGAGAATGGAGGGAATATGTTATAACTTTTCAAATACAGATGCTTAATATATAATATATTTAAGAGCAGAATATTTAATATAAATTTCAATATTATTATAATATAACAAATATAATCGAACTCGCATCTCATAATAGCAGAGTTATGTTTTTTAGTTCTTGATCATGAATGTGTGGCTTTACGCTATGTTTTAATATTAACGATGAATCTTACTATTGATGATATGATTCATGTTTAGGAAAATGGGCCTTTTGAATCAGAATTTGAATTCTGATTCAACGACCTTGGTTCATGGTGATTTAGAAGTTTTGTTTACTCAGTAGGATTTGCCAGCCCCAGCCACGTAAACTAAGTGATTGGCATGCCAGAAAAGTTTCATACTGTATTACATTAGAACTTTGAAAAGAGAGTGATGCTGCTTATTCTATTTTTTCCTCCACAAATTGTGCATATTCTGTTGATGTTGTTGCATCAATTTGAGAAAAATGGCAGAACGTTTTTTCAATGAAACTTAGATGTGAATATGTCAGAACCCTTTTTGAGGTCGTTGCAATGTTCTTAAAACAATTATGTACATCCTAGTTTATACAGTAAGGTTAAATAAATTTCATTTTATTGGCAATGTTTACTGACCTACCTTTTTTTCAAAGATAGAATTCCATTTTTACCATTTTAGTGTAAGATATTGATTTTTTTCAAGTGGCGGCACAAATTCTGTTTCGGTCAATGACTAATAACACTTATATCTCAGGATGCTATCCAACAGGGAGTCTGCCCGACGCTCTAGAAGAAGAAAGCAGGCTCATTTAACCGACCTAGAAACACAGGTGTGTATTTTATTTTATAGGATTGACTTGTTTCTCCGCCGCATCTTGTGTGTTGGACGATTAGTCATCCCATCCTATGGAAACATTGATGCTTTATGACATTTTATTCTATCATAGGTTTCACAATTACGAGGCGAAAATTCTACATTGTTGAAGCGCCTTACTGATGTAAGTCAGAAATACAGTGAATCTGCCGTTGACAACAGAGTTTTAAAAGCTGATGTTGAAACATTAAGAGCAAAGGTAATGTTCTATATACTTGGCTTAACTAAAATCCATGATACACAAACCTACCGGCTCTTTCTAACAGTTCCCATAGGTTCGGTTGACAAGCTGAAGAATGGTGTTCAATCATGTTTTTCACAGTGAAGAAAAACTAAATTAAAAGTTACATTGCGAATTGCTTCACCTGTATTGACAAAGATCTGACCTGTTTGTGATTTCCTGCCATGTTATCTTCATTTTTAGGTGAAGATGGCTGAAGAGTCCGTCAAAAGAATTACTGGATTGAACCCAATGGTTCATGCGATGTCTGATATATCATCATTGGGCATGCCATTATTTGATGGAAGAAGCCCTTCAGACACTTCAGCCGATGCAGCTGTTCCTGTGCAAGATGATCATCATCACTTCTATCAACCCGCATCTAATAATCCTATTCCCAGTCATGATCCGATAGTCAACAATGGGTTGGGTGGCATATCTTCAATTGAAAATGTGCAGCAGAACGCTGCAGCAGTGGTAGGTGGGAACAAGATGGGTCAAACTGCTTCGCTGCAGCGGGTAGCTAGCTTGGAACATCTTCAGAAGCGGATTCGTGGTGGTGTGGATCCCTGTGGACCTCCTTCCAATGGGGAGCATTAAGTAAGTAGTCAAATCTTATGGATGCTTCGCCAAGAAATTACTCTAAAACACTTATTTCTTCTAGTTATTTATAACTAAAGGCATATTCATCTGGAATACATTGTACATCAATTTGATGGACCACATGTAGCTGGATTCAATCAGATCATCCCGTATCTTTTTTTTCCCATAAAAAAAGATAAAATAAATTTAACCCCTGCTATTTCCCCCCCAATTTAATCCCATCATGATCGGATTTGGTCTTACGGGGAAACTAGGGAGTCTAAATAAACAGTGTAAAAATCAAGAGTGAAAGTAAGTCTATTCAAATTTGAAAATTATTACTCCTGGTGATCGTATTTTTTAGAGTTGTGTGGAAATTTCAAAAATCTGTTTCGGGTAATTATAAAATAGTTTTTGATAATATCTATATGTTTTTGGAAGTTCAAGAGTAGTGTATTACAAGTGTCATGGGGAATTCACATGGATTGCATGGCGTGGAGGGGCAAACTATAGGCGATAGATTTCACCAAACATCGTCTACCAGCCTTGTGGAGGAGCTTGCCTTTCTACGAGGCGAGGCGCTTTTGGGTTTTATTTTCCAGTAGGTGGTGGAAATCAGCATTTTTGTGACTCGGCCAGAGAGAAGAATAGAGTTGTCCACATTACATCTACCTAGGATAAAGCTGCCTTGAAAAGGCCAATGAGGGAGTCAAGGTAAGGGCGAGGTCTATTTATTAAAATATTTATGATAGTTTTATAGAAAAGACTGCAAAGACTTATGGGACGAAGATCTTTGAGTTTGCTGGGTGTTCAATCTTAGTATGGGAATAGTGAGGGTTTCCAGAAGGGATGGATCTGCTTGGGCGTTAAGGAACGTGTTGTTAACTCATTGGCGACAAACCTTAACCCTAATTCGACATCAGAAAATATCATGTTAGCTTTGAATCATGTTACCTTAACCCTAACTGAGATTAACGGAAGAACAAGAGTACGTACGTAACAACAGCTCGCACTTCTCCTTATGCTTCTTCTTTCAGGAGTTCTCTCTTCTCACATTGAGGGTTCTCTGAGTAATTGGGAATTTAAGGAAGTTTGGGGCGATTTGGGACAATTTGAAGATCGGACATTTTTGGTGATTTCTCGACTTTGACACGCCCGTAGGGAGAACGATGAAAACAAACTAGAAGAGATGACTTTATTTATTAGTTTCTTTTACTGAAATTACTGATAACCTTTATTAACAGTCATATTTTAACGACCATATACGCTCGGTAATATTACGTCAAATATTTTTTCAACAGACTTGCCAACAAAATTTATTTCGATAATTCAATAATGTATTCATATAAATGATTTTAGGTAGTGTTTATAGCTTCAAAAATGATAAATGAGTTGTACGGGTTAGTGAAGAGGCAAAAAAAATATAGGATTTATGACCATTTCAGAGGATTATAATCAGTTTGGTTGTCGTATTTAAAGAAAAGCGTTAAGAAATATGAATCAGACATTTTGCGTGATCTTGAAGGGAATGAAAATAAAAAGGGGGTGCAATACATGAACAGGTTGAAGAATATCAATGCAGTATCTACTAATGAACAATTTTTAGGTCATTTTTAAAATAAGACAGTGAATTGATTCTCTCAAAAAGTTATTGTAGCTTATATATAATATGTTCCTTAGCAAACTTTGGACATGTATATATATTCCAGTCTTATAGAGTGAGTATAATTTATTATATTTATTTCAAGCTTATTTCATGATTTGAATTGTAAAATTATATTATGTTACATATCTGATCATTAATCCGATACTATCTTCACTGCTCCTAAACACGTGTAAACAAGAGTTTCATGAAATGTAAACGTAATTACTCGCAACTTCAAGACTCATCAGTAACCTATGCTTAAATGACATGCTGGTTAAAAACAATGACGAATTGGACATAGTTTCTTTTAAAAGTATGATGCGTTGTACACCACCACTTTCGTCACGTATATTTTTTATATCACCCTTTATGAACAAAGATTAAATTTCAAGATTTAAACATAATATAATTACATAATTATAGAGCTCAATTACAAGCGTCACTAATTTAAACTGATATAACACAAGAATTTATAAGTTCTATAGATAGCAAAGTGAATTTCAATATTTTGTCATTATTTTTGTGTTTTAAATCATCAAATGCTAATTCCCCAACCCCAGTTAGCCTGCACAAAACACGTTATCGTGCAAACTTGAATCCACTTAGGGTTTTACAATAGTGAGTTTGGTTCAAAATCTCTATCCAGTGAAGAAAATAAGTATACAAGAGCCCGCGTGCGTGCACGTAACAAGCACTATTATCGTTGTCTTTTCTTTTCGAGAAAAAAAAATAATACTTTTCTCTTTTGATTTTATAACTTAAAAATAAATTTCAATAAAGAATAATATGTATTAAAAATAATGTTAGGACTATTAATCTGAAGTAATAATATTAAAATGTAGAGAATGAAAATTGATTTGTTGATGCATGTATGGGTTAGTGTTAATAAAGGCAGAGCGCACTAGGATTGTGTTCTCTCGTCCGTGCGTGGTCAGAAGCACTGAGAAGACGCAAAAGCTGAAAAGCTTAAACTCTGAAATTTAAAGACCCATCCAAAGCAAACCACTACCAAATCCAATCCTCCCACACTCCCTTTTTCTTTCTCTCTTTCTCTCTTTCTCTCCGACTTTTCTCAAATTCCGCAGGAGAACACACAAACACAAACATTCTCGGGCATCGCAACCCAAATTCCACCATTTTCACAGACCGCAACAAGACAACTCAACAGCCTTCCTCGTTTTCCGCTCTTCCTGTTTTTCAAACCCCAGTCATCACCTTCCTGGCAAACACGTTCCCCAAATGCGTCGATAAGAAAAGGCTGCCTTAATAATTTCACACACTCTCTCGCTCGGTGGTTGTTAGAGATGGCAGGTAATAGTAGCTCCGAGGGGTTGGGAGATGATTTCTTCGAACAGATCTTAGCCGTACCGGAAGCTCCTGTGGGATATGGCAGAACCGTGGCCACTGACGTTGGAATGTTGCAATTGGGATCTACAACTCCAACTTCTCTCAGAGGTGCTGGAATAATGCCTCTGGGCTTGAATTTGGAGCAATCTGCCTTTCTAAGACACCATGATTCCCGAAACCTAGTTGACGACGTTGTTAATGTTGATCCCACCGTTCACAATAATAACCACCACCACCACCAACATCAACATCATCATCATCATCATCATCATCAACACCTCACTCTCCATAATAACAACAACTCATCACCCTCTTCTACTGCACCCATCACCGTATGTCCATATCCTTATTATTTACTACCATTACCATCACACATCTCACAATAATCATAATAATTATTATTGTTATACCTAAATCATTCGCTCATGCAAATTAGAGATGGTTTTATCACTCTTTCGTGTGTCGTACGTGCAGGATCGCGATTCGATGCATATGAGAGGTTTGTTTTCAGCGTTTGGGCAGTTGCATAGTCCTACTCTTGTTCCCTCTGTCCGTCCCTCGCTGCCATCGCCTCCACCACCTCCTCAGCCCCAACTCCACCTCCACCACCATAACCAACAGGTAATTACATATTACTTTATGACTAATTATTAATTAATCTAAAGTTTTTATCCTCCATCTTTCATTGACCATACTGTCCTTGCTTTTTCACTCATTAATCTAATTATGATTATGCCTTAATAATAATTAAATGTATCCGCCAATTGGCCACTTCCGTCCGTCACCCAATAATTTACCTCAAACCAATAAGACAAACTATTATAATATATTAACCTTAAAGTTGGATCACTTTACAATGCATAAAGAAGAGATGCCTGTGCAAGTTTAGCTAGTGCTTCATCCATGGCCATTCATTCATTTCTTAACATAAATAAAATACTAATCCAACTACTCCTAATATTATATTCTATATTATATATGCATTTCCTTTCTTTTTCTTCTTCCGCTAAACCCAAATTTCATGGGTTTTCACCCTTACTTTACAAATTTACTCTTTTCCTGTGGATGCGCTTCTGCTAATTAATCTCACTCCCTCAACCGCGATATTCGCATTCGCAGAATCATTGCCTTTATTGCATTCCCAGATTTTGTTTTACATGCAGTTTTTCTGTTATATTGTTTATATATATTTTTCTTCAATACTCTTTGCTTTCGCCGGTGGAGGAGTAGTTCTCGCTACCACTTTCCGTCAACGCGTTTTCTGTGCTTGTTTTCATTCGTGGATCGTATGCTTTTTCATCACGCGTTTTCTTTTACTGCTCGTTTTCAGTGGTAGTAGATTTATATACTTTTAAAAAGAAATATATTGACAATAATGTGCTAGCAAAACTATTTGTGAATTTTACTCCTGTTAAATAAAGATCAAGTTAACTTTTTTTATTAAAATTATTTTTAATAATAATTATGTTATATATCAATAATAATTTTCAATATTTAAATACTGAGTGATTCATACTGTAATTTTTGTATCATACGAGTATATATCTATTTTTTTACGTAACCGTACATATCTATTCTACTATTTTCAAAATGTCAGAATTTATGCATTGTTAATAAATTATAAACTACTAAATAAGTTAGTATTGATTATAAAAATTAACAATTTTACCATAAATAAAATATATAATTGATTAAATAAAAGTTTAAAAATAATTTCAATTAAATCCCTTTTTTCTAACAAAAAACTATTTTTTTTTATTCTACAAACGGTGAATACAACTTCTAATATAGCTCTCGCGCTCCAACTCAGCTAGTGACTTCGTTTTAATTTCAACGCCCTCGTATTGGGTGGGACCCCTATTGACATGTATTTCTATTTTATTAGGGCATGAAATTTTGACATTTTTTCATGGATACTCCGCCTTGACTTTAAAATCTAAACTCAACAATTTACGGAAAATATTTTTATTGGGAAATTGTAAAAGAAGAGAGAAAAATAAATAAGAAGTTTGTAATTTCAATGTTTATGGGTCCCCTATCCTATGGATTCACACCAATCTAATTCGTTGTGGACTTGTATTTATGTCCATGTCAAGTATTATAAAAAAACCCTCACTGGTTCTAGTTTAAGATTGTAGATGTAGTAGTAACTTACATAGGGGTAAAGGGAACCAACCATCGTTAAAGAACCACCTCTCCTATTTATGTTTTTGGTAGTGTCTGGATTGGACGAATATACTATGCATCAAGTTGCAATGGCGACACGCATTGTTGGCATACCAAAATTTTTGTAATAACAACGTAGTATATAGTTTGGTTATCTATGAGTTATTTGTGATGTTATTTTGGTAATGATCCCATGCGTTGCAGGCGTTTCAGGGCCAGGGAGGTGGGGGTCCAGCGTCAATGAGTGGTACCCCACAAGCACCTGGCATTCGCCCTCGTGTGAGAGCAAGAAGAGGGCAAGCCACAGATCCACATAGTATTGCTGAGCGGGTAATTCTTTAAGGACACTTATTCTGAGCATCAATATTCTCATATGCTTGCCAGATTCGTTTGTTTTATCCGTCTATATAACAATTGATGTTTTTATTCATTTGTATTGGATGTAGTTGCGCCGTGAAAGAATCGCTGAAAGAATGAAGGCATTGCAGGAATTAGTTCCAAGCATTAACAAGGTTTGTGCTTTTAATTTGCGATGCAATTACACCATTTTTCACACTTTGGCTTATGAATTGAATGCTTATATTTTCAGATAAGAATACCATTTATATTTTCAGATAATTTCTTTATGTTTCATAGGAAACTTCCATTCATAAATAACCATTAGCTAGGTTAGAACTTTCTAATAGCGTACGCGTGCAGGGATCAATTTTCATCTATCTTTATTATACCTTAAAAATCATCAATACGTTAATTTCGAATAAAGTCTTCAAAATATTGGATTACATAGAGAAAGTAAAATGTACGGTTTCGTAGTTAATGGATTATCTATTGTTCAAATGCGAATCCATTTGTGGTTAATATTATGAATTTGTGGTGTAGACGGACAGAGCAGCGATGCTTGATGAAATTGTGGATTATGTGAAGTTCCTAAGGCTCCAGGTTAAGGTATGAATTCAAGTTTTTATAGAATTTGTATTGAAGAAAACTTTCTTCATTTCCCTGAACGGCTTAATCTAAAATTTGTTCTTATAGAAAAGTTACGTAGGAACTTCCATTGATGTCTTTTGAAATCAGTCTCAGGCGCATGAAAGAGCTCTTACTGAATCTATTATTTTTAATTTTGAGCAACTTATTTCAAATGGCTGACCCTCCTTATTACTGTACATGTTAGGCTTAATAGTTAATACTGCGAAATACTCATACTCATCTATATGGAGTGTTAGTCCATGGTAGACACATTATCCCTGGATTGATATTTTGTCGTGTGTGATCTTCCTATTGCAATGAGGTCTCAATAATTTGTTTGTACCGATTATCTACACTAAATAGATTAATAAACCTTCTGTCCTTTCATATCATTTAATTTTAGTGATATTTTCAAACAGGTCCTGAGCATGAGTAGACTGGGGGGAGCTGGTGCAGTTGCACAACTTGTGGCTGATGTTCCCCTTTCTGCAGTGGAGGTGATAAATACACGAAAGATGTTTTGATATGCTACTTTTCTTCTTTTTTAATTTCATACCCTTTTTATCATTTCAGTCTACTTTTACTTTATTTTGGTCAAGCACTACATGCAAATTTTTGTACCACGGTATACGTATCTAAACCGGGATATGAGATACATGGCAATCATAGCACTGCATTGCATCACACGTATAAAGTTATGTTTTTTATTATGTCTACTTTGTTTATTTATTTATGTGTGTATTCCCATAACTTTATATGCATTTTTGTATTTTGATTCTTACAATGGTTTTATTGATTTTATGAGCAGGGGGAGGACATAGAAGGTGGAGCCAATGAGCAAGCCTGGGACAAGTGGTCCAATGACGGTACAGAACAACAAGTTGCTAAACTTATGGAAGAAGATGTGGGAGCAGCAATGCAATTTCTTCAGTCGAAGGCACTTTGTATCATGCCCATATCTCTAGCCTCGGCTATTTTTCGTATGCCCCAATCAGAATCATCAACAGTCATCAAGCCTGAATCAAACAGTCACTGATAGAAGCGAACAAAAGTATCATGACAAACTTTACATATTTGTTTAGCCAAATTTGCTCCCGTTCTACCTCCTTTATGACAAGGGTATTCTACTTTCGTGTATAATTTTGTGATTGGATGGAGAAGGATATGTAGTCGGTGCAGGTGTACACTCTTCTCAAGTTTTGTCAAAGAAGGAGTAATGGTTATTCCTAATGAGTAAAACCAGAAGAGCCCAGCATGTCCTTGTCACAGTGAAGATGAAAATTTTCAATGGCCTTATTGATGTTTTTCTTCCAAATATCTGTGGTGGGGTTGGTGGTGGATGACCAAAATATTTGTAGTGGAAGCTCTTTTCTTCGTTTTTTAATTTTAGTCAGTGGGGAGTGGGGCCATTTAAAAGGAAAGGATGGGTACGCATGATGTACGTGGAGAAAACTTTAATACAAGTTGAATTAAACTATGGTTAGTTACCTTGTAAAGCTCTTTGGAAGCATCTGAGAATTGCAAAAGCTAAAGGTATTTTAAAATAATAAAGACATGTTGAGTTTTGTTTGCTTCTGAAACAAGTGAATTCCACCATAAAGTTAGGTGGAAGATTACTCAACCGACTTGTTGCTCAGAAACTGGAAAATGACCCTTTGCTAATTTACTCAACAAAACCTTATTCTTCTTACTTATAATATTTATGAAAAAATGCTCAATGATAGCTAGCATACAATTGCTATTTAATATGACGGTGTCTTTCACTTCACCTTCAATATCTTAGAATCGCATATAATGTCAAATATCGTGACTTTATGGACAAAAAAAAGATATTTAGTTTCATATTAAGAAATTAATTGTGTTGATAAATCATTTTGAGTTAAAATCATTTTTATGTTGGATTAAAAATATAACACTAATTTTTTTATTAACTTGATTGAATAATAAAAATATCTAAATATAAATCATATTGTTTTACAATAAATTTTAAGTAAAAAATAATTTTAAACGCAATTAGTTGTAATCTTAATTAAGGTTTCGATTTCAATTTATATATATAAATAAAACGTGACTGAGAGAAGAGACGATGAACGAAGCAAGATTTGGTTTTTGGGGACCATGTACACTAATTATAAAAATTGTAATGCATAATAAATATATTAACACCAAAAATCATAAGGAAATATAACTTGAATTTGGGTACACTCGAATTTTTTAGTACTATATTCGTGATTTGTACAAAATGAAAAGAAAATAAACTAGAAAAAATAAGTATAAAACAAACCTAGCATACTAAAAAAAAAGGACTCATAATATAAATGGCAATTACTAATTTCACTTTGTTTTCAAATGTCATAAAATAATATTTACGAATTAAGAAAATTGTATGTACTTTAACCATGGAGTTTTACAAAAACAAATCTTATTAACTATATTCAATTAGAAATTTTATATTAATAATGGAAAGAAGAATAAATACATAATAAGGAAAGCAAAAGGAATGTAGATAAAATAGTAATAGTAAGATAATTTTTATTGATGTATTTAAAATAGGGAAATTGCACTTACCTCTTTTATCCCTTCTAATTTTAAAATAAACACTTACTTCTCTTATATTTTAAATGAAATGAATTTCACATTTTCTTATCACTTTCAAATGACATTAACTTGATTTTATTTATATAATTTTTTAAATTAAAAAAAAACAAAATTATAATTAAAAACTTTAATTTGAATTTTCATCATTTTACATTTAAGATTTTAGTTAATATTTAAAAATAAAATAAGAGTGAATGTTACTCTATTAAAACTAAAACAGGGTGAGTGTCATTTATTTAAAAATATAAATGAGGTGAATATCTATTTAAAAACTATAAAAAATTGTAAATGTTATTTTACGAAAACACAAGGGATGTTTATTTTTAAACTAAAATGGATGTGTCATTTAACATAATCTCTATAAAAATAAATACAATTTTCTCTTTTCAAAATTTAATTTATCAATATTACACATAATTTTGTAAATTTGTTTCATTACTAGATGTTAACAGTGTTTAATTTCCAAAATTTCAAATGCATAGGAGAGGCAAACTATCAAAAGTGAATCGAGAGATTCATCTTTGATTCATAAAGAGATAATATACATTTTAAGATTAACATAAAAAGAGTTTATTTTCATTTAGTGATTCATTATATAACTGAAAGAATAAATTTTGAAAAATATTTAAAGCTCGTGAAAATTATGAAAAGTCGCACAAATTTAGGCCTAGTTAAGGAAAACTGAAAGTTGAAATTTGAATTTAATTAATTCAAGTTATATGACTTTAGAACCATTAGAATGTTATAAAAAAATAAACCTTTCATTTTGAACAATAAAGAATCAAAATGAATTTTAATTATAATATATTATAAAATGTAATCAATTATTAAAACAAAATAGTTTTCATATTTAAAAACATCCTCATTCAAAAACATAAAACTCTATGTCTTCGTTGCTTCAGTTTTTTCTTTTGTTTGGGCCAATTACCCATTTAGTCCACCGCAAGCAAATTTAAGAGCTGATCAAAACCAAGTTGGGTTAGGTAATGTTTAGGCCCAAATAATATAATTGTTGTACTGTTTGAACTTTACAACCCACTGAAAAATTGGATTGTACTCTTCAACCTAATTGGGCTGATTTAACTTTGTACATTTCAATCGCAAAGCATGGGCCTTAATTGATTTTTGGGTCACAAATCTCAAATAGGGACCCCTCATGTGATAGGTTGCTGTTTACCTTACTTTTGGTCATATTTATAAAACACAGGTACATTTTTAATACAAATTTCAACCTTTCTTCTTTTACACACAAAAACAAATATATATCTTGTATATTTTTTAATTTTTAAATTTAAACAATTTCACTTTTTTTTATTAGTTGTTTATGGAGTAATTAACAATATTATTAATAATTTACTATTTCATTTCAAATAACTAATATTTTAATAAATAGTTCGAACAAGAGATCTTTGGATTATGTTTAGTGAATGCAACTTCAACGGGAGTTGTTTATGCCCCCAAAAATTGTCATTGAAACAATATGACGTGGTAGTAACAATTTTAAAAAGTTGAGCACCGCATCTTGTAGAAGCAACGTTTCTAAAAGTGATTATTTACAATTTTGTTCAGTTTGTTCTCGCGGTTCTCACCAACAGAATTTAACAAATCGAGAGAATGTCACAAATAAGAGAGGAATATTCACCTAAAAGTGGCTTGTGTTTTTATTTATGTTAATCGTATTTTGTATTTTAATTAACGTTAATTGTATTTTCAATGTCAAAATTATTTTTAATTTTTTAAATTTAAATATATTATTTATTTTATTTTAATAATTAATTATAATTATTACTGACATGACATAGTGGATCCCATTAAAATCAAAAGTGATAGTTGAACTGTGAATTGTTTATAAGAACCCACCATTAAAATAAATTTTTAAAAATTTAAAGAAAATTATATTAAATATGATGTGACACGAGTCTCACTTGAAAATCCAAGTAGATTGTTATACAAACTTATCATTAGATATATTCTTATAAAATATTGTCAGAGTTATTTTAGGAGAATTATAACTGGATGAAAAAGTTGTTAACACTTTAATGAAGCAATTGAAATTTATATTTTTTCAACAAAATAATACTTTATAAAAAATATTATTAAATATAATCAATGAAATGTTACAATAATATAGAATTACTTAACATTATTATAACAATTAAAAGAAAAATAATAATTAATTAATCCTCTCGTGATTAAGTGTTAAAACAGTTTAATCCACATGTTAAAAATGAGATAGATTAAATTATATCATGATTTAACCGTTTTGTCAAAAAATTAGACAAATGAATTAGTGGATCAATATACTAATTTTTTATTTTTTTTAAATATAATCTTAACAATATGAGTATTTCTTAAATATTTACTTTGATAATTAATATATTTTATTAAATAAGTTAACAAATTATTATATTTATATATAAAAATATTTATTTATAATTAATAATTTAAGTTTAATTTTTTTAATTTTAATATTAATAAGTAAATATATTTTAAAGTAGATTAATCTATCTTATTCTCTTATCTTTAACCTATTGGCTTAAAGGTTAATCTGATATGTTTATGAAATATTAAATAACAATGGTATTAAGATAAAGAGTTGTAAATAGAGAAATTAGAAGACCATTTTATTATTATTATTATTATTATTATTATTATTATTATTATTATTATTATTATTATCCTAAAAGTATAATTATTCTAATAAAAAACATGAAATAATAACACTTTATCTAAAAGGAGAGAAAAATATGTAACTATTTTTACAAAAAATAGTGTAAGCAACCGTGAGTCTGAAAAGAAATTTTTTTGCATAGATTAAGTGGGAAATATTCAAAAAGCTAATTTCAAAATTACAGAAACATTCAACATTATTTAACCCTTGTGTTTTGGTACGAATTACTTAACCCATGTTCATGAAACCCAAGACAACCAAACATTAGGAAACCTTATCGTTGTTTTCTACACAACACAACACATGAACCCTAATTTTAAACTCTATAATTTTTTATACTAGTTATGATTTTTGTGACAATAACCATAAAACCTCGAAACAAATAGACAAGCTGAAAGGAGCACCACCATACCTACCCATAGAAAAGGACGACTACTGCAATAATGGAAAAAAGATTCCTTCATTGATTGTGTTCCTCTACCAATTATCATTAACAAACTCATCAATTAAAAAAATTAAATATATATGTTAAATATTCGTGTAGCATCTCTTTAATTTCTTACTTCTTTTGCATAGTGATTACATTTATTTTACAATCAACTTGTTTAGCTTCATCATGCTCTGGTTTAAATATGTAACTTTATTTAATAAGGAGATAATTTTTCATAATTAGACACAAATCAGATAAAATATTACATTATCTTAAATTTTAAAATTTTAAACATTAAATTATATGATACTTAATTTTTTCTATTTTTATTTAACATGGTATTTCAAACTTGTACTTATATTTTCGATAATATATTGTCTACACCAACCTACGAAAGTTTAGTTAGCTATTAATATTTATTTTTAAGTTATGATTTAAAGTTAAGATATTAATCATTACATAGTAGAATTTGAATTTCATGGTGCATTGTTTATGGATTCATTACATTTTTAATCATCATTTCTCTAAACACGCTTGTAATACAATGCTACGTAAGTCAAAACAAAATCATCCTTCATTGAACTCAAACTCACTAAAAGTCATCCTTTGTGATTACTTTTTTACTTACATGTATGATTTGTTTACTGATTATATTGAGAAATATTTTTCTCAAAGAACTTGTATAATTATTTGTATGAGAATTTGAACGAAAAAGAACAAATATTTTGCTTTTAATAAACAAGGGGTAAAAGAAAAAAAAAATAAAAAAGAGAAAAAGTGAAAAGAAAAGGAATAATTGTAAAATGGTGCGTGGAGCCCATGAAAGAAAGAAAAGGGGACAAGAAAGGGCACAAAGCCCAACTGGGATGTCCACTAACCGCACCACAATCATTCTTATCACACGTCACCAACCCGACAACTCTGGACCATCCAACAGCGCCTAATCCCCACACGTGTCACCATCTCAACCCTCCCCTTCCCTCACCCCATATATCACCAAAACCTCCCTGCACCTCGACACTTCTTATTTCTGCTTTCACCAAAAACTTCACTTTCCCAACTTCACCTGAGAAAAAGATACCCTTCATCCGCACGCGCGCGCGAGCTCTGTTTGTGCTCTCTTCTGTTCTCTTCTGCTTCAGGTCACGAGTGTCTTGTGTTGGACGCAGAACAAGACAACTACTACTACTACTACTACTACAACAACAACAACAACAACATGATTAACTTTGAAGAAACCGAGTTGCGACTCGGCCTCCCTGGTGGCTCTGCGAGTGATCATGGCGAGTTAACACTGAAGGGCAGTGGTGGAAAGAGAGTCTTTTCTGAAACTGCTTCTGTTGATTTGAAGCTCAATCTTTCTTCCAATAACGACTCTGCCTCGGTTTCAACCACTACAGAGAAGTCCAAAGAGAAGACTACTACAGTTGAACCTACTGCTCGGGCTAACGACCCAGCAAAACCACCTGCAAAGTGAGTTATTTTTCTACTTACTCTTTACTTGATTTTGATGACTTATCTCGTTGGTTTTTGAAGTTTTAGTTTGAGAAAATAATCGAGGAATCTATTTTCTGCTTTGTTGTGGTTTTTTATTTCCCCTTGTTGTTTGATTTGTTCTTTCATCTATGGCCTCGTTAGGTATGTAATATGGATCTTGTCTGCCACATAGAAAGGGTAATTAGATTAGCAAATTTCGTTCAATGGGTAAAACATTCACTGAGAATAACTTGCCAGAATAAGGATCTTTATCTTTACCTTGTTTACAGAGAATAGATTTGAGGAGGAAGAATAAGAAAAAGTAAAAAAAAAACTAATCGATGAAACTTTCAATTGAAAAAGATAATAATAAGGTGCAGCTACAAGTTACCTAAAAGATTGATTCTGGTTGAAGGTCGTAGCTGAGTAATTAACTAGTATATTTCCGAGTTCTGACCTCTGGCTAACTTTACTCTCCCAACTTGGTATTTTAATGGAATATTTTAAATATTCTGTTTGAATTTGATTGGAAAAGAATTTGAATATAGACAATTCGCTGCAAGATATGAAGTATTTTTATTTTACAGACAAAAGATTTCATAAATAATGAAATTGATCAAGTTTTTATCTAGTATTGGAGTACATTAAAATTAAATTTTACTGGTAAAGTTTATTCCAAAATTATTGAATCTGACTTGAAAACCTTCTGATTTGATTTCTACCATAAAATCAACGTGAAAGACTAGAATCAATTGAGATCACACCTACAATTGGGTTGTTCATATTTTGAAGCCTCTTATGGGTAGGATAAGTAGTTATTATGTAAAGGCAAAACGTCGGTTGGGTGTGTAATTAGGTATTGGAGTGTGAAAAGAAAACTGTGACGGTGATGATAGAATGGGAAGGAAAGCAAGTTGATTTTGTTTTTGCGGATGGCATGGTTGGTTGTCGGGTAGACAGAGGAAAAGGACAAGACAGAGGGAATCTTGCTTTTTATTTCCATGGATTCAACTGTTTGAAAGGGTGAATTCCAGCCAAAACATAAAAAAAGGGATGATAGTCCACGCCCCTGTCGTGTCAGCTAACACATTTCACATTGGCATTGGTGACAATGGAATGAATAAAAAAGTAGTGTGGAGAGAATATTAAAGAATGAGTTGAATTTGGTTTGCAGGGCACAAGTGGTGGGTTGGCCACCAGTGAGATCTTTCAGGAAGAACATAGTGAATGTTCAAAGGAGCAACAATGAAGAGGGTGAGAAGAGTGGTGGTGGAGTAGCATTTGTGAAGGTGAGCATGGATGGGGCACCGTATCTGAGGAAGGTGGACATAAAGTTGTACAAGAGCTACCAAGAGCTGTCAGATGCGCTGGCAAAGATGTTCAGTTCCTTCACAATTGGGAAGTGTGGGTCCCAAGGGATGAAGGACTTCATGAATGAGACCAAATTGATAGACCTTTTGAACGGCTCTGATTATGTCCCCACATATGAAGACAAGGACGGAGACTGGATGCTCGTCGGTGATGTTCCCTGGGAGTTAGTGCCATTTCTTCCTTCCTTTTCCTTCCTTCATTCATTCATTCCCTGTTTTCTCACATTAATCACTCCAATCAATCTTACTATTTGTGACATATTTCACAGGATGTTCGTTGAATCATGCAAGCGCCTCCGCATAATGAAAGGTTCTGAGGCAATTGGCCTTGGTTAGTCATCATCTTCATCATCTTACTCATCATTCATATCAGTAAAAAAAAAACACATTGTTTATCTTGCTTACAATGTTCATTGCAAATTCACAGCGCCAAGAGCCGTGGAGAAATGCAAGAACAGAAGCTGAAGACATTTCAGGATTGGATTCAACAACAACAAGAAGGCACAAGGGATCAAATTGACTCGAGCAAGATTGAGTCTAATATAGGAATAATAAGAGTTTAATTATTATTTTTATTATGATGATGATGATGATGATGATGTGTCTTTGTCATCTTTTTTAATTTTCTTATATATGTGTATCATATGGATGAGAAAATAGTTTGAAATTGGATAGGGAGAAGAAATAATATAGATGTTTATAAGATCCCTTTTTTGTTTCCAAGGAAAAGAATGTGACTTTGTCTATTGCCAGCTTGCCTAAAGATAATGACGATGTTTGCAGTTTATGTGAAGTGGGTCTGGTTTTGTCCCCTCCGATTCTGAATTATGCCTAAAGATTCCTTCACGTTATGTGCAAAACAAAACCCTCTTCTCTGTCAAACTTCAAGGGACCTGGCAGGCTTAGGATCTATGAACAAAAAGATAAGGTGGACCCCGCGCACGTGCTTCCTGTTTTGCCCTTTTGTTGTGGGGTCCACTCATTTATTGCACATGGTCCCTCCTTTTTTTTTCTTTTTTAATTCACGTTGGGCACTGTTAAACTCACCTCACCCACAGTTTATCATACAGTCAACCTTGTTTGTGAGAACTAAACTGAATTAATTTTAAATTGCTCACTATATTTATATGTATTTTCTTTTATATTTTTATTTATAACTTTATTCTTATAAATTTCTTATGTATATGAAATTTCTTGTGTTAATATTATTACATGTTTTGTTTCGGTGATGGATATGATTAATTTTAGGTTAAATAAATTATTATTAATAAATAATAAATAAATATAAAAGAATGAAATAAAATAAAAGAATAAAATTGTAAATATGTAAATAAATATATTAAATAATAATGAGAAAATAAAATTATAAATTATATAAAAATTTAAAATAATAAATATATAAATAAATATATTAAATAATTATTAAATTTGGAGGATTGAAATTATATATTACCGTACGAATTATCACATTTTGTAGCGAACACGATCAACTGACCTCGCAAGAAAATCCACTATTTATTTATTTTTTTATTATTATTTTTTTTTTAACGTTGGAAGCACTTCCCTGTTATTACAAATGGGGGAAGATGAGTTGACAACTCAGAAAGAAATAATTATGGTTTTGTTTGAAAATAGGTTGGTACGGTAAATTCACCCAATGACAATAGATTAAAATATCTGTTTACTTGCTTTTTGTTACATCATTAATTTATCTCATATATATATATATATATATATATATATATATATATATATATATATAATATTTTTTATAATTATGGAAAACGCATAAATTTATTATATAGATTATGTGTTTTTTTATAAAGGATAAAAAACATTAATTTTATTAATGGAGATAAAAAATTTAAAATTTTACTAAATTACATCAAATCATGTTAGATTTGACTCGAGTCTATTATGATACTTAATATGATTTTAGTTGTTTGATTTTAAAAAAAATTATAATTCTTATTATATTGTACTCATGTTTTCTTTTTAAATGATTTTTTATTTTTTAAAATATATTATTTAATAAATAATTAATTTTGATTTAATTATTAATTTATAAAAAATAAAAATATTTAGACATGGATAAATTTAATGTAATATATTTATATTAAAATATTACTACACTATTTAATTAAAACAAATAACGTACTAGATTATATTATTTTTAAAGGAACAATTAAGATAATTTTGTATTTGACGTGCAAGATCAATCTAATCCTATTATTATCGAAGATTAATAAGTTACACAATTAAAATAAATTAAATTATAATCGTGGGAAATATAAACTTTTCAATTCCCTTCTTGTTATTATGTTATTTGTGACTGTATTTATTGATTTGATTTACAAATTACAAATATATGAATTTTAATATTATCTAGTTTGAAATAAATATTATTGGTCTATTTATACAAGTCAAATTTCATGATCCTAACATGTGCGAGATACATGAAATTTTTTTTTTACTGATCGGATTCAAAATAAAATGACGTAAAAGTTAAAAATAAACAAAAATATTATCCTTTTTTATAAATGAAGGACATAATAATGTAAAATTTTAATTTTGATAATAATTTTATATTTTTTTAAATATAATATTTTAATGTAAATATATTACATTTTTTAAAATATAATATTTTTTAATTATTTGATAAATAATATATTTAAAAAATAAAAAACATGGAACTAGTACTAGGATGAGTTCAATATAATATAAATTATACACAATTCATATTACCATACACGTTTTTAAGGGTTGACCCAAATCAAATTTCTATTCCTGATTTTACCATTTTAATAAATTTTCAGATTTTTGACCCTTTTAACAAAATGAATATTTTTTTTACCTTCAATTGAGGTCAAACGCTTACAAGTACATACTTCCGTTTTTTTTTTTAATTCATGTTGTATTAGGTTGATAAATTTTATAAATCTTTTAGAAAATTTACAAATAAAATATAATGATAGGAAAATAAAATTTCAAGCCATTAGAATGTAAAATAAAATTGTTTGATTATTTAAAATTGTAAAATACTCAATTTTACAAATAAATAGAAGTTAATTTTTAATATATTATCTTTAATGTCACCTATCTTTCTTCATTTTATTTTTATTTTTCTCTCTATTAATCTCTATTTTTCTTCTTTCTTTTCATTCTCATTCATTCATTTCCTCTTTTCTTTTTTCTTTTTTTCAAATATTTCTTATTTCTATCTCCAATCTTTCCTTTCATATTTGTTTTGTATCACCTCTTTTCATTCTCTTTCTATCTTTGCTCTCCCTTTCCACACATATATATATATATATATATATATATATATATATTTACAAAACCCATTTTTTTAACCTTTTTTTTATTTTACCATAGCGTTTTATTCGTAAATATAATAACAATTTTTTTTTCAATATTTATTTATTAAACATTAAATAATTAACAAAATACATAAAAAACTACTGTATAAATAATTATTACATTAGATATCAAATTTAGATTATTAGTTTTATACTTTAAAAATATTTCAAGTTAATTGAAATTATTTTAAAATTTGTATTTGTAATAGATTTTTTTTAACTGTCCTCTAAAAATAAGTTGTGCATGAAAATAGATTTTAATATAATAAAAAATATATATATTTCTATAAAATGTTTCGAATAATTATTTTTACATAAACGTGAGTTTTTTTTTGAGACTGTCATAGATTTTTATGTGAAATAATTTTTTTATAAATTAAATTAAGTTTACCAATAAATTAATCATTTATTTTCTTTTAAGAAAGAGATAATCTAAAACTTAAAATTATTAATTATACTCTTTCCGAAATGGAAAATTAATTCGGTACATTTTTTGGTTGCGTATAATCTCACAACGTAAATGTAAATATTGAGATGTGAAGTATAAGATGTGAGGAAATATTAACCATGGTTTTCTCAATGGTTGGATCCAACGGGATAATCCGATCAACACCATCCGGACTAGATTCATAATCAGACGGAAATGCAATCGACATTGGTATATGACCCGACCCACCTCAATTTAAAAAAAAAATAATTTCTCAATATATATATCGTTTTATTGTCCCACTTTTACTTATGGATTTGTGCTGTGGATATTATTTTCTTTTTTATCATGATAATATTTTAAAATTTAAACTATGAAATTACATTATCTTGATTTTATATATTTATTATTCCATATATAAGTTTTTTATTACATACAAGTTTTAAATTTAGTTAGATTTGTTAAATGATAAATATATGATGTTTTTAATGTATCCAGGTATAGTAGGTGAGTAACCCAAAAGTCCAACTATCAATCCAGTATCTCTGATCAGATGACTGACTGGGTCCAATTTCACAACCCTGAATGGGTTAATATCAAAGCCCTAGTATTTGATGTTAAGTCAGTTCCCTTATTTTTAGTGTGTCGGGTCTTTTCTTGGACTGCAACACACTGATCTAACAATTACCTATTATAAGTTTGACCCAACTTGATTTGCAGAACCAGAAATGTGGATGGGCTTCCAGGTCGCGGTTAAGATAGGTTAATAACTTTGTATAACGGTAGAAGAGACCAAACAAATTTACATAAATTGCTTCCGGAGCACTCATGGATGACCTGACTAATTGATCAAGTATTAGATAAAGAAAAATGAACCACAACCCATATCGTTTGGGAAAGATGTAAGATCTCTCTTTGCTTCATTGCAACGGGGATTCATGTTCCCACCTGTTGTCAGAAATTATATCAGGTGATGCGTCAGACAATCGACTTGTTTTCATATGCAGACATCGAAAAGTACAATTTAGATTATCTAGGAACAGATCGACAAATAATTGAAACAAATAATTTTCAGTTCGTTTTGGTAACCCGTCAGCAGCAATTGCATCACCTAGATGCTTATTGTTTCAATATATATATATATATATAGAGAGAGAGAGAGAGAGAGATGTTTATGATGCATCAATCTCGAATTGCCTGGTAATTTTTGAAAACCTACAATGACACTTAAACAAGGCTAACCAGAAAGAACCCCTTTCAGCACAGTCTTGAAGGATTCGGGAACATATCTCAACAACGCCTCTAAATCGAACTTTTAGACCATCCGGTAGTTGGAAAAAAGCATAGTATGGTTGTTCTGCATGACATTTAAGAAAATCGTTGTCAACACGTTCTAGTTTACTTTGAAAATTGCACAGAAAAGGAAAATTAGACATTACTTATAAAAAAACTTTGTTAGGACTTAAGTACAAAAGGAGGATAGGACAACCGCTTAAGTACCTCGTCAACTGGCTAATCTTACTCAGTGTATTACTCCTAAAATTGGCACCTTAAGGTCCAACATCAACAGCAGCTTTCACTCTGTCGACATCGACCCAATAGTAGCCCTTCTCTCATTTTTTTCTTTGAGATGACTTTACTCATCTATCAGTGTTCGATTAACACCTTAATCCAGCCTACAATAGCCCCCTCTGTAAGGCAACTTTCTACGGAAGTACTAATTGTAAGGACAGCACAAGGAAATAGCTCAACCCAAAAGACTAGTCTATTGGGTAATAAAACCTCAAGACTTAATGTAGCACATCAAGTAGCTTATCCTAGTCAATGTGGATTTTGATACAATCTTCTACAAGAAATCAAGATTACTACATTAAATTTAATATATGCTATTCATTTAATTTATAAGGCTAGTATTTACTCCGCTCACACCCTTATCTCTCATTGGATACATATCCTATAATGTGTGGTAACTGATCCATAAACCACCATGTTGTTGTCGAGCATGCTGCCATACAGCATTGGTGTTGGTAAACCTGTAGGGGTATTGTGAAACATTCTTGTACATCACCAAACACAACAAATGTATTTCTATGCAAAATTAGAGGGGGCAGACTCCCTGACATTTAATGTCAGGGTACTGCTCAACTTTTAGATTATTTTGGTGTAGGATCTAGACATGTTATTTTTCTTACAAAGCAGTAGAACCTCCTCTTACAAAGCAGTAGAACCACTTCCATGTGTCACACCAGTGTACACTGCACAGGAAATCCTCGGCAGAGTACCATTATCATTGATGACGTCTAGTTGCCAACAATGCAAGCCAACCAGTTCCCTGTCTAGTCATCAGCCACGAAACTAGTTTGAAGTTTGACTTCCATTGATGTTTTTACTAATATTAAAATTAAAATAAAAACAAAAGACCAAGATAGATGGAAAAATCCTACCCTCTAGAATAATATAACAGCAGAGATCAATGCAATGGTACCATCACGTTCGTACCACGAAGTCAGGGAATCAACTACCACAACTAGAGCAATGATTTTTATCTTTACAAAAAGAAAAAGAACTAGTCATTAGAAGATGATATAGGTTAATATAATAACAAAAAGAGGAACAAAGACTGGGAAGAAACAACAACAACAATGAAAGCAAATAATTGAAGACTAAGAGTCACGTTAAATAAAGTACCAATAAGATACTACAAATCAACCTACATCATAATAGACAAAGAGTCGCATTGTTAAATAAAGTACCAAGTACGGTTAAAATTCCAAGCAGGAAACAGAATTCATATCCAGAGCAACAAATGCCTAAAAATTTAAAAACCTGATGATGGGCCTTCAGTTTAGCTGAGATGCTAGGATGAATTCTAACAGCCCCTTCACTACTACTAGAACTGAAACTATTGTAGCAGCACATCCGATTTTTCTTTGTAATTGCAAGGACATTCTTCGCAAATGATTTGGATGGCAACAACAATGATGCCAGCTAGTGGCCTGAGCTTCAGCAACCAATTCTACACAGAGATTCTTATTTAAACATTTGGTGCATAATAAATCCAGGTGTAATCCTGTATCTGACCTTGCAGCTTCTTTTCTTGTTCCATAGACTACAAAGTGAATGTTACAATCTGATTGGCACTCAAACTTTATACTTGCCCTTCCAAGTTTCCAATGCTGAAAATTTGGCAATAAACTTTCCCAAAAGCATTGGATATTGGTTTATGAATGAGACAAAGTATGATAAGAGACAATTAACTAAAACAAGATTAAATTGACAACATTTTATCATTCAATTGATGTATTGGCCTTCTGTGAATCTAGAACTTTCTATTAATTCATTTATCATTTAAATTGTACCATTTTCAGATGTCAATATCAATAACTAGTTATAAACCCGTAATACTGATTCAGCATGCATCCCCAACAGCTGAACCAACGTAAAGCAAGTACAAAAAATTATTTCTAAACATGCCTCATATCTCCCTACAAGGAAACCATTTCCAAACAATAACTTATCTCTGAATAGGCAACACTAACCAAGAGACAAAGAAAACGATGATTAAATGGAACTCTATTCCAAAACCTTTGAAGTACAAAAAAATATTATCATTAACGTCCCATCACTCGTTTGGGCTTCTTCACAAAACTCAACCGAATCTGTTTCAGGCGACTTCTCTTCCTAGCCATTTTCTCGGGCAAGGTTTCCCTCTTCTTCACACTCTTGACAATCTTCTTCTTCTTTAGATACCTTGGATCAACAGCATAATCTTTAAGAATCACAGGGAGTCCTCTACTCTTGGCTTCATTGAACAGTGCATTAGCCCTATCAATACGATTGTGGGCACCCAATTTCCCCATCAACAAGTCATAAGTTTTAACACCGGGTTCACACCCATCAGCCTTCATCATAGCAAACACACTCAAAGCATGATCAATTCTCTCAATGCCACACAAAATCTTGAGGAACTGATAGTAGGCCTTCGTACCAAGAAACTCACCATACCCAGCAGATCTCATTCTGTCAATCATTTCATCCCCCTCCTCCAACCTACCGGCCTGATACAAACTCCGAATCAGAACAAGATAAGTAGACTCGTTAGGATAACAACCCCACTCTCCCATACTATGAAATAACCTCAACGCATCTTCCGTCTTCCTAATCTTACACAAATTCGTTATTAACACATTGAAAGTCTCGGCATTCCTGGGAACTCCACGGTACTCCATCTCTACTAGAACCTTCTCCGCTTCCGAATCAAGCCGAAACGGATCCTTCTCGCGACAAAGCTTACACACGCAATCAAGCATAGCATTGTAAGCCCCTACACCAAGCTGAAACCCTCCTCGATACATCTCACCGGCCAGCCTCTGAGCTTCCTCGAGCTTCCCATCAATGCACCAGCCGCGGATCAACAAATCACACGTGGCTTCGTCGGGGAAAAACTCCCTAGCCAAATCCTTCACCATCTTCTCCGCGTAACTCGCGAAACCCTTGGAGCACAACTTCTCCACGACTACCTTCAGTGAACCGCGATCGCGCTTCAACCCGTAGTCTCTCTCCATTCTCTCGAAGAACTGAACCGCCTGGCTGGGCCGGCCGGCTCGGACGAGGCGGTCGATTGCAGAGGTTAGGGTCTTCGGTCCGCCGACACCGGCGGCGGAGAGGAGGTCATGCGTTGCTTTGAAGTCTTTGCGTCGGCCAAAGTAGTCGACGAAATAGGAGAGTGTGTCGTCGGTGTGTGAGAATTGGGGATTGGAAGAGAGCCACTCGTGGAAGCCTAATACAGTGCGGCCAGCTTGGGGGGAGAGGTTGAGGGTTTGGAGAATCACATTGGGGGTCGGAGTTATGTGCGAGAAGCTGAGGTGGAGGCGCTGCGAGACTGAGAGAGGGTCACAGTCCGGTTCTTTGAGAAGTTCAAAGGAGAGAGAATGCGCAATTGGATCTGTTTGGGTTTCCGATGAGAAATGTCTGGATATGAAAAGGGAAGGAGTGAAGAGAGTCCTGGAATGGAAATGGGTCGAGGAATGTTGGGGAAAGAGAGGAGGAGGGGGATAAAGGGGAGAGGGAGAGGGGGATGTGAATGAAAAGGAACGAGAACGGAGTAAGAGTCTCCGAAGTTGCAGAGACGCTAATGGCGGCATGTCTAGGGTTTAGAGTCTGTGGGTAAAGAATAACACGATGAAGAAGAGGAGCAACTACGATACAAGGTATCGTGGCAACGGCGAGTTAGCCCAATTCAATCTTGGGCTTTTGGTACAATACTTTCAGACCCAAAATTAAAAAAATAAGTAGTTCAAAAATTATAATTATTATTTTAGAACTATATAGATATATTCATTTTTTTTAAGAATATCATGCAATCAATAAAATATTTAGTATTACTTTTAATATTTATTGGGAATTACAAGTTTTGATAGGTTTTATTTTTAAGGAGTTTCTCTCCCAATTTAGGAGTTAAAAATAACAAAAAATGTTTTTTTTAATAAATTTTACTTAATAGTAGAAAAAACAAATGTTCTTACACCTCTCTTCCAAAGGTAGATACATGTTTTTGGAAAGGATTTATAATATCATAAAAAAATCTATCTTCACATAAAATAAAACAATATGGAATGATTTGTTATAATTGACATTGTAATTTTTGATGATAGCATATGTAAAATTTAAACTCCAAAACAAAAATATGATATACTATATTTAATTACATTTTTAAAATTATGATGAAAATATGTATTATAAAAATTTAATAAAACATGCCATATGAACATATAAAATTAACTAAAACTTATTGACAATATTTTTATCTAATCACTCAATTATAAATTGTCAAATGATAAAATTGTTGACTTTTATATATAATACTATAATTGAAATACATATATTTAAGGACAAATTTATTTCTACTAGGTTAAAGCATAAAATCGATTTATGATCGATGATGAATCTAAAGTAATCCGAAGATAAAAATGTTAACCAACACGTAAGAATTTAATAAATTAAATGATTGTTAGAATTTAAATAATTAATCAAAGCAGTTATTATTATTGAAAAATTAATGATATATTTTTTTAACCTAAAGAGTCAAAATTATTGTGAGAAAAAATATATTTATATCATCATAAAACAAAAGAATATCCTTATATAGTAATATAAAAATATTTTTATTTTGTATATCTATAAAAAAAATATCAAGTTGTGCATAATATAATACTATATCGACATGCTACGTAAACATCCAAAACGTCATTATGAGAAGATATACATCAACGTGTAGGTTATATATCCGAAAGAAAAAGAAAATTGTAAGGATAAGAACAGGACTATTTTGCATGGTTACCATATATAGGTACAACAGGCACTGTTAGTGTAGGCACAAAAACTAGAACAGAATCAGAAGGTAGAGTGATTATGCAGAGAGAGTTTGACAATGCAGAGAGGGTTAAGGCTGTTGGGTGCGGTGTGGTGTGCGTGGTGTGTGATGGCAGCAATGTTAGCAAGTGGTCAGAGTGCGAACAACGTGAGGGCTACATACCATTTATATAACCCTCAGCAGAATGGTTGGGACTTGATCACTGCCAGTGCCTACTGTGCTACCTGGGATATGCTGACAAGCCCTTGGCCTGGCGTCAAAAGTATGGTTGGACTGCGTTCTGTGGACCCGTTGGCCCTCGCGGCAGAGATTCTTGTGGCAAATGCTTGAGCGTATACCAACCTATTCTTTTCTCTCTCCAACTCAACCAAATGTTTATTCAAATAATAAAACTAGAGTACATTTTATGCATGTGTGTCATGACATCGATTTTTTAACGTTGGCATATAAATTCTACTGGTATTATGGTATATATGGCTTAGGTGACGAACGCAGCAACTGGGGCTGAGGCTACGGTGAGGATTGTAGATCAGTGTGCTAATGGAGGTTTGGACTTGGACGTGAACGTGTTCCAACAATTGGACACCAATGGACTGGGAAACCAACAGGGTACCTTACTGTCAACTACAGCTTCATCAATTGCGGTGATTGAAATCACTTTTTCTGATCTTCATACGTGTAATATATAATATATAATAACACCACCACACAGATCAAATAAATAAGCGGTGTTGGAATAAATTAAAATAAATCAGGGGGTGCTGTTCCCAACTACTACTTCTTCCCTTCCCAAGCCAAAATAAATATAACTATCTGTTATGATTTTATGTTTCTCTCTGTCCTTTTCTTTCTTGTGCTTTTGCTCTTGCGGTAAGTAATAGATAGAGTGCAGGAATAAATAACCACGAATATATATGCTTTACACTATAAACGATTATCTAATGAAATGATATTCGTCCCATTTTAAAATTTCTTTTGCGATCTTTAATAGGCGAAATAAATATGACAGATGAAAGTTAAACTAGTTTGTCCACTTCAACAGTGGATTTGTGTTGAAATTGAACTTCTGTTAACTGTATCTTAGAATTTGTATGAATGTTATATGACAAAGAGACACACACGCGTCTATCTATGTTAAAAGACAAATATATTAACTAGAATATAAAGATATTTCTTAAAAATTTAAAAACAAAAATATTAGACAATAATTAGGAATTTGAAATTATTATTGAATTATGTAAATGGTTATTGTTGTGAGACTGCTGTAGCTTAAAGATCCTAAATTTGAGTCTTAATTAGATTTGTCTTGATATTTAAAGCGAGATTTTTTCTGTTCATACTTACGTCTGATTCAAACAAAATCTGTATTTTTTTAATATCAGTGTTAGTTTTTATTAATGAAGTATCTTTTTAATAAAATTTAGTATTTTTTTTTTTTTTTTTAATTAAAACTCTTTTAGTACATGTTCACAACTAAAACGTTATTTCTAGTTCAAGTTCACTGACATTTTTAGTTGTGATATTAGCGATTAAAACATTGGATGTTTGTCAATGTTTTTGCCTTTATTAAGAGAAAAAACGATTATATATATATATATATATATATATATATAAAGCAAAGGGCTATTGTAACACCATGGTGATTTAAAAACTAATAATGGTGAATTATGATTGTTTTAATATACATCTTATCTATAATTTGTTTTATTAATAATATAATTATATCAGAAAATAAATAAAAGTTGTATGGTATACAAGATTATAGTAGACAAACAAAATCCAAGCTCTTTGATATGGTTAGGAGATCCCATGAACATATCTGGATAAGAAATCATTGGCCTGAAGAACTACTCTGTTTGTGTCAATTCCTTTATTCGTTCTAGAGACAATAAATTTGCGGCTACCTCTATTTTTGTCTCTGAACCTTTTGCCAATCTAAATCTAGTGAGAATTGCATTAAAATCATTGACAGTCACGTAGCTCCACAAGGTAAATTTACTCTGGAGATATAATACCTAATATTTATATCATAATTTAGTAATCTTATAATAGCTTAACCTGTCAAATAGTATTATTATAATGTCAAAATAGGGCAATATAAATAAACAGATTTATATTGACACAACAAATTGTCATGGATTCTTGGTTAGAATAATATTTCTTACTCTCGTTTCTTTTTCTTCTATCTTTTGTCCAGAATGATTCGTTACCGCATTCATTTTCGATCTGCGTTAAAGACTATGTAAAGCATTGTTACGTAACTCCAACGTAACACGAGGAAACAGAATGTATTTGCAAAAGCTTTGATTTTCACTATGTATCATAGATGTGCCGGCCCTATGAAGCTATAAATAGAAGGACACAACACAAGCTAATTCATTCAACTGCAGCACAAACTCGCCAGCTAGCAAATTAATCAAGCTTAAAACATTATAACAATAATGGTAAAGCTTACACTATTCGTGTTTTCCATGGTTTGTGTACTGGCTCTAGCCTCTGCTCAAAGTGGCATTGTGCAGTCTACGTATCATTTATACCAACCTGAGCAGCACAACTGGGATTTGGTCGCAGTGAGTGCTTATTGTGCCACTTGGGATGCAAACAAGCCCTTCTCATGGCGCAGCAAATATGGTTGGACAGCCTTCTGTGGACCTGCAGGGCCTCAAGGCCAAGCTTCTTGTGGCAAGTGCTTGAGGGTATTCTTCTAAACAAATTAATTAAGCTACCTCCTTAACATGCACAAGCACATGCATGCATACATTCCCCTGTTTGATTGATGAAGAAACATAATGATATTATATATGTCGATGGGGTTGAATTGTAGGTGACAAACACTCGAACAGGAGATGAACAAATTGCTAGAATTGTGGATGAATGCCAAAACGGGGGGTTGGACTTGGACGTTAGTGTGTTCCAAAGACTTAACTCGGACGGAAATGGAAATGCTCAAGGCCATCTTACTGTCCACTATGAATTTGAGGACTGTGGTGACTAAACATATAAAGGGCTAGCTGAACAGAACCAATAAAAATGAGTCTTATTAGATTTAACTAGCAAAGTACAAGCATAATAAAGAAAGATTCTTAGGAGTTACCAATGAAATTGGAAGCAAAAATGTTGTCTGGTTGTTGTTTTATTCCGTTTCATGTTTTTACCCAATAGTTAGTAGCTTTTGCTAAAGTTTCCTTTTGTTTTCCTTTTTGAGCTTGATATCAAAGTTGCAGTGAATGCATATTTTTAACGTTGTGTTAAAGATATTCACAAGTTCATGGATTTGGTTTGATATCGTTGATTAGAAATAATTAATATTATTGAATTAAGATTAACATGTAAAATTTTATATTAAAAAATATTTACTATTAAAATGACATGCAAACAAGAAGATGTAGTGGACAATGTGATGAGCGACCATCGATGCATAACAGCAAGAAAACATAACATTAAAGAAGAAAATAAAAATAAAAACACATTTATTTTTTTTTGTATCTGTAAAATAAAAAATCTTCTCTACGTATTATTTATTGGTGTGAAAAGTTGTGTACAAAATTGAGTTGTGGCGGTTAGGACTTAGAGCTGGGCTTGTTTCATTGGATGTCCAACTATTTATTGTCTTGTTCTACATATATAGACAGACCAATGATGCTTCATGATCCTGACCTATGTTGTTCTCATCTTATCATTAAGATGCTTACTTTGTTTTCTTCTAATCAATTTCTGCTGTTCCCACAAACCATTTATAGTAAGCAAAATACAAACAACATCATCTTCAAAGATGAAAGAAGTATACATATTTACTTGTGATTCTGCATAATTTTTGTTTTTTGACATGAGATTGGTTATATTAGTTGCACCTTCTATATATTGTGACTGCATTAATTGATTGGGAAAACACTCACAACCACATCTTGCATGTTGAGTGTTTATCTTTTAATACAAATGTTAATCAATGTTCAAAGAACTAAAACTTTATTAAATATAAAAAAACATATTAATACTAATCAATGTTTTTACAATTAATTTCTAAGTGGATTGAGAACAAAATAAAGGTTTAAAGCAAGATGATTTCATGTAAAACAAATTGATCTTCAAGGTTCAAAGAACATATAATAAAGCCGAAAGTAAACCGAATGCGTCAAGCAACCACAAACCACTCTAACCTGATTGTATAATGTGACAGATCTAAGTTGCACTATTTAATAACTTTATCTAAAATACGAAATTAATTAATTCTATTATTAAATTAATTTATATTACCATTTTTATTACATCTACCAACTTGGCTTCATTTATATGTTGTCGAGTAATAGGCCTATGTTTATATATTTTTCAATAAGATCGATAAAAATAAAGTAATGTTACGAAGTATTAATTAGTTTTATCATTTAACATGAATAATTTATAAAATTAAGTTGTTTTATCAAAAAATTTAACAGTTACATTGCTTGATTCCATATATAAAAAATTATGAAAGAATGTAAGAGTAAAAAAGTTTAATATTTCACATCAACTAATTTTTATTTTAAATATATTTAGTTATGATTGAGATATTATTTGCTATATATATATATATATATATATATATATATATATATATATATATATATATATATATATATATAATTGGGAAATATATGAATGAACACTTTTAATGTTATCATTGATACAAATTTTATAAAAATATTTAGTATAAATTGTTTAAAAGTGATAACTAATTTCATTTAAAGTAAAACTATATTGCTTATACACACTTCGGAATGAAATAAAAGGGCAAATTTTATGGCACACATAATTATTCATAGTTATTTATTTGCTAAAAAATTACGTGTTTTTTTTTAAGTACTTTGGATTCTTAAATCATATTCAATCCTCTCTGCTTTTAAAATTTGACAGCCAATATTTTTTTTTCTTGATGTTTACAAAGTCTTTTTTATTGATTTTTTTCAAAAAGATGAATAAAATTATTTTATATCTTAATATATTTAAAACAACTAACTAAAATATTATATTTCACCCAAAAAAAAACTTTATTTCTTCAAATTATACTCTCACATTTGAAAATTCCTTCAGGTTTTATCAAATTTATAATTTCAAAACTCCGAAAAAAAAATTAATAGTCGAAATTCATCGCAAAATTTGAATAAAAATATTAATTGAAGAGTTTTAATTTAAGTCAACTAAAATAAATTCAATTGCACATTTGCTCTTTAAAAGTTTTAAAAATATTTCCTACACATTATATTAATCAATTTTAGTTATTGTACATTTTATTTCAATATATTTTAATCAATACAACTATGAAAAAAGTGGTATATGTATGAAGTAAAATCATATATTTTAAAGTATATAGATTATTATTTTTTAATTATAAGAACCAAACGAGTAATTAAACCAATAAATTAATTTTCCAAATAAAGATATTTAATTGATTAATAATATTTTGAAACGTGAAAAATGCAATAATTTAAATTAAATATAAACTAAAAGAGTATTTAAGTAAATAAACAAACAAATTCGTTAGTTTTAAGGATTGGAATTGGTTAGGTTATCCGATAACTGCCAAACCTACATGAAGTCAAACCGTGTCATCAGACTTTTTTTTTAAATAAATTTAGCCAAAAAAAGTTTATTAAAAAAATATTAATTAAAAATACTATCTTACATAAAAAAATCAACGAATTTATGTAAATTATAATCTTTTTATAAGAATTACCACCTTATTTATAAAATATTTAAAAATACATGACTTACTATTAAATATTAAACATGTTGACTTAAATATAAATTTATGCTAACAAACTTATTAAATGATAGATTGGTGGCTTAATTAAAAGCCTTATAAAAAAAATGAATGAACTTTTAAATATGACAACTAGGTTAATGCTCGGATTGGTTTCATATCCACGTTAGTGCAAAAACTTTAAATAACAAAAAATCAAATATTAATTTTCTCGGGTTGAATCAGAAGAAGATAATTTTGAGTCTTCATATCGAAGCAAGTCTTGTTGCATCCAACTTATTTTCATCCCTGTGAAGTACAAGCTAGTTGGAAAAAACTATAAGATCACATAAATAACTGCGCAACGTGATTTATTAGTTAGATGCTGCATCGATAGATAGGATCCAGCTCTCATAAGTCAACTCTCAGTTAGAGATTCTTGGACGTAATTTCTGCCAATGTTTGTACCCAAAGTTGCAGTTTCGCAACCTATGTGTCTAATGCTCGCGAATGTTACACACTATAAGCCACACACATCTCAACGATACCATGTAGTTTTACACACACGTCCAATTTTATGGGAAGTAAAAATGATTAATTCATGAGTGAAAACCAAAATTAGTGGCAATACCAATCAACGAGTGTTCGGCGATAAATGTTTAATTTTGTTTACGTAATTCAATATGACGAGGAAAGTCACACGAGGTGTCAGAAGTTGGGATAACATAAGAAGTTTTGTATGTGTGTTTGGAACATGTTAGTAACAGAATATTTTGCTATTTTGGGGGAAAAATGGTAACTTGAAAAGAGAGAAGAGAGAAGAAAACGAGGAGGTTTGGATAAACAGTTGAGGAATAGTGATACATAGTATTACCAAAGTAAACAGTAATAATCTGGGAGAGTTGAAGTCAAATATGTGAATAAAACACAAAAACACACGCACGGCACAAGAAGCGTTGGTAGTGTATGTATGGCGTGTGTATTGCTTCGCTCCTCCTTCTCTTTCTCTTCATGCTCTCTTTTCTTTGTCTCGGTCTAACACCAACCAACATCCAAACCCAACAACGACAACAACATTGGACGGTGCCCGCTTCAGCTTTACGTAGTTTTTGTGGCAAAAATCGAACCCCATCTGGGGATTTGGCCCCCAAAAGCCGCCACTTGAATTCCCTGCCCAGATCCATATCGGTTCCACGTCGAATCCAATAGGAATAGAACCAGCGTGGTGTGGTGTGGTGTGTTTCATTTGGCTGGATTGGAATGCAAAGTTAATTAATTTATTCATTATCGTAGCGATGGTGTCGAGCCAGGTGGTGAAAGTGAAGAGAGATACGCTACGACCATGCATGACATGCCCTCTCTGCCATAACTTCTACAGAGATGCCACTACCATCTCTCTCTGCCTTCACACCTGTTCGTTTCTCTTACCCTTCGATGCCTTTGCTCTTTTGATTTCTATGCTGCATATGATTTCTTTTTTTCCGGATTTTGACGTCGCTCTAGTTTACCTACCTTGCAATCTGCAATGTATTGCTCTTTGTTTAATCCCTCTGGGTTTTTACTCACCCTTGTCCTTGTTCTCTAATTTATATCAAATTGCCTGGATTTTCATGATTTGGGTTTTCAATGTGTTTGCTTGATACTTTGTGATTGGTGATTTCGATGATCTGGTTTCCTACTAAACGTTCGTCTTAGATTACTGCTATTGCGTGAAGAGAACGTTAAACAGTTGTTTTGTGGCTGTGGTAGAGCAATAAGATTGACATGATAGCTGGGCTTACACGGTTTACTTTTCTGTATGTGGTTCATTGGTTGTTTGGATTTCTGAGATTTCACGGATAAGAAATGGAATCGTGCTAATTGTGTTTTGAGGTAGCGTACTGTTGTGAAGTTTTCTGAGGATGCAATAGACTTTCATGATATGTTTGTTTGGTAATTCGAGAAGTGTGATGTTTATGAAATTCCTGAATCACAGTTACATCTTCTCATGTTTTAAGTTCATCTGTCGAACACCAGTTTGCAGGAAGTGCATATATGACAAACTCTCGGATGAGGAGATGGATTGCTGTCCTGTGTGCAACATTGATCTAGGCTGCCTTCCGGTGGAAAAGCTCAGGTCGGTTGCGGTCTTTGTTTGCCAACTTAATATTGCATTTGTGTGATTTCTGATTTCTTTGAACTGGACTGAACTAACATGCAGCTGGAATTTCTGGTTGGAAATGTATTAATATCTGTTAACTTTGTTTATTCTGTTTCGTCTTCTCCTCATTTCTTTGCTAGTAGTTGTTGTTTACTTCTACAAGAGAACATGATATAACATATTTATTAATGTTCATGATCAATCTCTACCTTTTTCTTTCTTATAAAATTTATTTATCTAGCACCAGCGAATGAAAGTTGTGGTCTTGAATATATTCACTATGTATTGCAAAATTTCATCGCTAAACTACTTTTCTTTCTTTCAGTAGGATTTAATACTTTTATCTTCCCTACTTCCAGAAATTTGAATCACATAAATATAAGTTGCATCTGTCTTGAATTTTGTCACATATAATTGTTTAACTGTTGACCTAAAGAATTCAGATGCAGAATTCTGTATAATACAAACAGTATCTATTATGTTGTAGAAGGCACCCTTCATCCTAAAGTCTAAAGACAGCCAATAGCTTTACATTTTCAACGAGATTGGATCTTATATGTGAATTACATTTGCAGCTTGTGATTTTTGGTGAAGACTGATATTTTAATATAATGGATCTTCAATATGAAACCCCAACCAGAGTGAGGTCTTCCCCATCTTCAAGCATGTTAAATTTGAATGAGTTATTCTTAGAAGCAGCATGCATGAATTATTTTGTAGATTTATAGAAAATGCAGTTTAGTAAATTTGTTGGAAGTTTGCAAAATAATTAAGGATTCGTGTTGATTATATACAGGCCAGACCATAATTTGCAAGATATTAGGGCAAAGATATTCCCGTTTAAAAGAAAAAAAATCAAGGCGCAAGATGTTTTGTCTTCAATATCATTGCCTGCTAAAAGGAAGGAGAGATCACTTTCATCATTGGTAGTAAGTGCTCCCAAAGTTCCAATGCAACCTGGCTTTACAGGAAAGAGAACTAAAACCAGTACAAGAAAGGCTGCTGCTTTACGTGGAAGCAGTTTTCTTCTTGAAGAATCCATAAAGAAGGAAGAAACAAATGGTGAAGATAATACGGTAAGCTCAATTTTACTGGATTCATCAAATATTGACTTTTGAAAATGTAAGTCAGATACTGGCTGTGGGGGAAACAGGACTTGGTGTTAATCTTTCTGTTTTTTTAATGTGATAATGGTTATGTAAATAATGTATAATGTTATAAAGGTCATTTATCATTATTGGGTCCCTATATGGTTGTAGGATTCTTCCATGGCTGAGCCTTCTAAAAAGCACAAGTCTAATGATGACAAAGAGAACAGTGTGGAACATGCAGAAGGGAAGGTTGATCTCTGGACACCACTGAACTGTCTTGTTGAAGCTGCCAACAGAACAAAATCCTCCAGGTCAAATTTACAAGCAACTCCCCTTGCCAAATTAGAGTCCCCAACTACTCCTCATGGTGGACAAAATATACCTGAAATTTCAACCAAAAGAGACCTACCAGCTTCTGTCCAGAGTGAATTAAACATTTCAAAATCCAAAAATAAGGATACTGGGCATAAAACAATATTTGGGGATGACAAGGATGCAAACAGCTTGCCTTCTGGACCAGTGAAGCGAAGAAGGTTGCGTCCTGCTGGTCAGAAAAGAGTTGCAGCATCTGAGATGTCTGCCTCATCCCCAGCCCCACTAAATGCAACAGGGGGCAAGTGCAACAGAAAAAACAGTCCAATTTGGTTTTCATTAGTTGCTTCAGAGGACCAGTAAGTATTTTTATATAGAACAATCATGCTACTCACAAAAAGTTTAGCTTCTGTGGTTATTAATGAAATTGATGTTATTATTCAGGAAAGGAGATGTTCCATTGCCGCAGATCTCAGCATGTTATTTAAGAATAAAGTAATTCTTCTGACTCTTATTGCCGTTCTGTTTGTCTAATTGTTTATGTATTTAATTCTAAAGTTTCTCTTTGGCTATGACATTGACTTTGGCCTGTGAATTGAATAGAATATAACCTTTCTCTATTTTGGTGTCAAAATTTAGCTAAAACAAAATTTAGATATAAAAAAAAATGTGTTTGTTTATGTTCGCTCTATCATGAGTTCACAAACTCTGAAGAATATATTGAAACCCAATAGAAAAATGTTACTGCATTTAAAGATATGACTAACAGATGTTCATGCAAACACTTCCATGTTGCATTCTAAGAAAGTATGTTCACGAAGCAAAAAGTGAAAATTTAATCTTCCATAATTTATAACTTAGTTTTAGATTTACTGATTTCCTTGGAACAACCATAGATTCAAAAATCGGTAAACTAATGATCATTGCCCTACAGATTGTTTGGTTTCACTCCCCACAGGCTACAGCTCACATAAGAGACTCTAAAATCCAAAGCTACTGTGTATAGCTTCTCCCTTTTTTGTGGGAATTAAGTGTGGGTCTTTTGTGACGCGAAGCCAAACAATCTGTAAGTCATATGTTGATTTCATTTTACTCTGCTATTCTGGTAGCAGATGCATAGATTGGTGATTATTGTCTGAATCACAGTTTTGGCAAAGGGAAACTTAGCTTCCGTTTTGAATCATGTAAAAATGTGTTGATTTTTCAGGCTTTCATTCTATTGTTGCTTTACCCCTTTCTTTTCTGTTATAATTTTCTTCAATATATTCCCTTATGATAAGTATTTATAGGTGATGATATAATTATGTAATTCTTTGTTACTGACCTCATCACAGGGATGGTACTGTGCCCGTCTCATTTATTCAAAAGTACCTTGTGAAGAAACTTAATCTTTCCAGTGAAGCAGAGGTGAGTAAATTACAATCACTACCTTCTAAGAACAAGGCACGGTTGGCACGTTCTCTCTCTGCTACTTTCTGTTTTTTTTTCTCTAACTAATTTTGGTTTAAGGATGTAATCATAATTAGAATTTGTGGTCCTGAATAAGGTGTATCTGGTGTGTCTTTATTGTTGTTTGTTTGGTTCTAGGAAGCCAAGCCACATAGTGCAGGCCTTGTGGACATTGTCTGAGGCTATCAAAAGAAAATAGTACAACTATGAAAACTAAAATTTATGGGCTGTCTGAGAATTTTACTAAATTTCGTATGCTTCTAGATCATAACAAACAGTAAATATTACAAATGCACAACGACTGGCACGAGCCCATGCACCCACACAATTTGCTGCTATGAAGAGAGTGAAAATTGAAGAAACAAATTTCTTATGTTGACGTTTTAACGCCAAGTCACCAAGTAGGCACTAAGAACTGAATTAACAAAGGAACTGAAAATAGGACTCATGGATATTTAATAGTTGCATCAGCTAGCTCTTGATAGACCACCTAATTATTGGCAGATCTATGTGAATTTTAATATAAGTAGCCTTTTGATTTGCATGTTATGAACTTTCAGTTGGCATCAGATTTGGAGTTAACAAAAGAAATGATTGAAGTTGTAGATAAGCAAAATGTGGGTGGTGCTATAGTTTGACAGTGTTTTGTTATTTGCACAGGTGGAAATAATGTGCCGGGGTCAGCCAGTGCTCCCATCATTGCAACTGCATAATCTTGTAGATCTATGGTTCCGGACAGCATCAACCTCGAAAAGGATACCAGCATCAGTGGGGTCCTCAGCCAAAGATTTTGTGATGGTTTTATCGTATTGTCGAAAGGCCTTGCCCCCTTGAGAAAGTTCCCTGTTCTATCTATATATCATTTTCCCTCCTATACTTCACATACACATTCAACTGTTTTGATACTATTCTCACCAATATTACTGCCTAGAGATCTGTTCATTGATGCGAGGAATCTATATCATTTTGTTTTGCTCATGACTCAATATGTGCACCCACCAATCCTATGACTTCTGCTTCCATTGCTGTTACTCTTTGGATCATCAAACATGTATATTTCTCTTTTGTGAGATCATATCTTACCCTTAGTAAGAATCAAAATGAGAGTGGTTATAAATCAGAAAAAAATGTCTGTGCTAATTGCATTTTTATACTTCCAACTTTCTTCTCACTGTCGCTTAAAATGTTAGTTCAATCATGACTATGGTTAGCTCAAGTCAGTAGATTTCCCTTCAGCTCTCTGGAAGATGTTTTTCCTTTTTGAGTTGTGGATGTGGATGTTTCCTATCTTCACCACCTACTACTCTTCCAAATTTCTCTAGTCCAAGATTCAATCATTTTCGTTATGAAATAGTTAATTTGATTTTTGTTACTTTTAATTCAATTAAAACTTATGAGATTGTTTTGAAATGAGAATTCTGATGTTTCGGATCAAAATACATATTTTAATGAAATCCATGTGTTTTTTTTCTTTATATGTTTTTGTCCAATATGTTTATTTTAATAATAAGTAGTTTTAATTTTTTTTATATATAATCTTAAGTAAGTGTTTCTTTTAAAGTTATTTATTACAAAGATACTTCTTATTGTTAGTAATAGTCGTTAAATACTGATTTTCGTGTGGATTATGAATCTAACATTATAATCATATATTTTTTTTGGGGTAATTTTTATTTTTAGTCTTTTTATATTCTAAATGTTTTGTTAATTAATTTTAATTCCTCGTCAATTTTCTTACTAGTTTTAGTGCTCAAGGTGGGTTGATAAGTCAACTTGATTGTCAGATAGAGTCCCATTCCATGATCAACTAAAAAATTACTTTTTAAGTTCGATTAAAATTGAATCCATGAGACGAGTTTTATTTAAATCCGATAAAAAATTAATGTTAAGAGTGCAAAACTAATAGAAAATATTGTTGATAAACTAAAAATCACAATATATTGAGGAATAAAAAGTAAATTCTATGAAAAGATAAGAGATTAAAAAGAAATTATAATGTCAAATTCCAAAGTTCATGTATTTTCACATCATCATTTAACAATTATCTTTAATAATATGTACTGAAAATATTAATAAATAAAAAGATTAAAACCAGTCAGATATTTATACAAGGACTAAAAATGAAAAAAATTACAAACAAATCCCCTAGTAAGATTACAATAGTAAAAAATGATGTAAAATTTTAACAATTTATCAAATTTAGATTCTCTACTTTGGATCGTTTAGTTAGTGAAGGGCCTTTAAATTCTCTTCCCATTTTTTTAAATTATTTTAAGTGATCCATTCAAAATGAATTATTAAATATTGTGCTTAATTGGGCTGGAAAAGGGAGTATTAAAATATCATCAAAATAAATTATTTTAAGAGTATCTGCTATTAATTTAATTTTAAAAGTTCTTAGTTTAATATACTTTAACTCAGTAATAAATATAGTTTTTTTTTAACTTTTTTTCTGATTTTTTTTTACTTTATTTATTTAAAGTTTATAAAAATATTATTTTTACTGTTTCATATATATAAATAAACATTTTAGAAACAAAATAAAAATACAAAATGGAAAGAACGAAACGTTTTGGCGTGCCTATTGTTTTTAAATCCACGAAGTCCTATTAACGAAGGGAGTCATTAGTCACCTGGTATCGTGGTCGGATCGGAAACCCTAAATTGAATTCGAGTCGACAACATGCAGCAGGTAATAGAAAATGATAATAACTCTTGATATTGCATTTTGTTATTTCGAAGGATTCATGTGAAAGCTGATCACTCTTTTATTTGGTATCCGAAAAGGGGGGAGGATCTGAGACGGAAGTGACATGGGAGGACCAACAGAACATCAACAAATTTGGAAGGTTGAACAATCGCTTTCACGAGCTTGAGGATGAGATCAAAGTCGCCAAGGTATTCTATGCAACTTCTTGATTTGTGTTCAGTTTCTGCACTATCATCCCTTCTGTTCAGTGTATGTGCATAACATTTTATTTACTTCTTGTTTGGTTATATTACTCGAAAGTCCCTTTATACTTAAGGTTGAACTTAGGACAAGTTCCAAGAGTTCATGTAATGAATTTCAATTTTGCAAACTGAGTTGGCTAGAATAAACTTCATATTGCTATCAATTGAAACTTGATTTCAAGCCAAATGTTGGCGTGTAAACCTACTTTTGATGGAAACCAAACATCATTAGACACATGTAAGTTGAAGGAGGCAAAAGGATATTCCAAGCGTAGCCTTTTGACTACTTTCGTGTAAATCTTGTTACTTTTTTTTTTCATTGGTCACAATAATATCAATATATCTATCCTTGTCGGCATGCCTTTGGTAGAGACAGGACGTAAGTGAATCATTGCTTTGTATCAGTATCAACAATTTGGCTGGATCTATGTGAATTGTATTAGCAGTCACTCGTATAAAAGATCCTGCCTAAACTCGATGGCAGTGGACTAAATATAACATATATACTACATTTGAATTTATGAAAATTGAGTACCAATTCTAAACTAAATTAGAGGAAAATAGAGTACAATTTCATCATTATATCCTCCAAAATTAATTATGTGAGCTAACTAACTCTAATTTTGCTTGAGTAACCTACTTAAGCAATGTCTTTAAACACACTCACACACAAAAAGGTTTAATTTAATGAGCTCTACTCTCTGTTTCAGTGTTTAGTTTAATGAGATTTAGTTGTTGTCTTGTTGGTGAAGTGTCTATTCTGCAAGTCTTGCTGTGGTTTTATTTTCACTGCAATCCAAGCATTTGCTATGGCAAATCCTTATGGCTTCGTTTTTTCATAGTATGATGCAAATACAGAAGGGTATTTTTTTTATAGGAAACAAATGATAATTTGGAGGATGCGAGCAACGAGTTGATTCTCACAGATGAAGAAGTGGTTCGGTTTCAAATAGGGGAGGTTTTTGCTCATGTGCCAAAGGATGAAGTTGAGAGCAGGATTGAACAGATGAAAGAGGTGACAAGCCAAAAATTAGAAAAACTCGAAGAGGAGAAAGAATCTGTACTTGGTCAGATGGCTGAACTGAAGAAAATTTTGTATGCAAAATTCAATGACTCAATCAATCTTGAGGAGGATTAGTAACTTCTTGTTGATAGATATCTATTTGGTTGCCTTTTTGTTAATATGACCTGTTGGTCCTCTGGAATTTGAGTCATTTTGTCTCTTTCAATGTTGGAATGTTTGTTGTCCTGCTTGAACCTGTTTCAATCGTTGGTTTAGGGTTCTGCTTTATTTGGCTTGTTACTCCATCTGAATTTCATGTTCCCTTAATTTTATCCTGCAGAGAAGGGGGGGTGGGGGGTGGAATTACAATTCTGTTCTGAGAATATCAAGATGTTTTACATCTATTGGAGTGCGGAATGAATAATAATAATAACAGATATTCGGATGACCTCTTGATAACTAATTCATATCCATAAAGAGAAAGCAGCGTAGCATTGTAGACCGTAGCTTGTATGTGTGTGTCTGTATATATATTGTGTAAACAACTAGCTTTATGCATTTCTGTTTGTTTGTTCATATTGCAATTTTCCGCTAGAAAATATATACAATCACTTTAGAACCTTGGTAAAAAGAACACGATAATCTAGTGGATAAAATCTGCTCTTTTATTGAGGCAATCGAGCACGGGAATCAACTAGCGCAAAGTTGTCATAATTTAACTAATAGATTTTAGTTTAAGTTCTAAAGTATACCGTTGTATTAAATATTTTTAGTAACATTTGAGTAATTAAAGATATGTATTTCACAAAAAGGACAGATAAATACTTTTTAATCTCGTTAAGTTTGATTTTTAATCTCGTCAAGAGATTAAATGTACTTTTATTACATTTGTAAAGGGTTTAGAGAGACTAAAACTTATCATTAAAATTTGTATGCTGTTAAAGACATATATTACTCCAAAAAAAAAAATCCTCTAAGCAGGCAGGATCATTTACTAACCACAGTCGAAACAAACTCACTTCACACACCTAACAGAAAACATTCATCTTTCTGTGAAGGGGGCCATCGATCATTTCCCAATCAGTAGACCTTAACCCACATCAAAAGATGAAAGCTCACAAAGACAGCGAGGATGTGTTTGGTTTTGAAGACAGAAATATTAAATAAGAACTAAATTAAGGAAGAAAGAAAGATTGTAAAAAATAAAATAATATTTAATGCTTAGTTGTCAAATAAAGTAGACATATATGAGAAATAGACAAAAAAAATATTAAAAGGATGAAACTTGATTAGTTTGATACAAAATAAACAATCTAAATATCATTAACCCTCTTAGTTTTTAATTTTATTTTTTCATCCTCTTCCCCTCTTTCTCATCCTCTCTACTACCAGACTGACAAATTGGATTCTCTTCTTTCCATCTTCTTCCATCATCATCCCTACCCAACACAGCTTGATGATTTAATCCATTAGATGTTTGTTAATGTCCATGTAGTATAGAATTATCATTGAAGGCAGTCCTCCACAATTCATAAAGTTTACAGGAAGTGCAAATTGACCATTGATAATGAAATGCATGGTCCAACGGAGAAATATCTGACAAATTGGTAGGGGAGGTGCTACATTATAAATCAAGAGGAGATCCAGCAATCAAAACCAACTTAAAATGAGAGAAAAATTTAAGTTCAAGTCGTTAAGTTTTCAAACAAATTTCTATCCCCCAAGTCAATGGCCTAGTTCCTGCACTATTACGTTAATCACCATCTACAACGACATAACATTGCAGAAAGGCCAGTACTAATTTTCCTTATTTTACCAAGTTTGCCATCGCCTACCAAGACCACAGTCAGGGGTCAATAGAGGTACACAAAGTATTTATCAAAACTGGGAAATTTAGAGTTAAAATGGACAGCCAAATATACTGTGGGGGGACATCGTGCATGCCATCCAGCAGAGTAAGCATAACCTTTACAGATGCGTCATGACTTGCAGCACCCACCATAACAACTAACATCAAGTATTAAATTAGTCTCATCTACCATAAATATCATCAATCATATCTGGAAATCACCAAAAATTAAAAAAGTGAAGACAAAATGATATTCTCACACCACCGTTCACGATTGCATTGATCTTCTCGCCTCTCCTCTCACATTGACATGATAAAAACCAGAGGGAGCAAAAGCTGTTTCTAGGCAGACATGCGCTACTCATCATTGCATCGAGACGTACTAATCCGCATATAATATTCACCCACCCATCTTCCGGTTACCCTTTTAGTAAGCTTCATCATAATATTATAGTAGCTTTCTTCCCAAAAACTCCCCTTCACCCTTTCATTCCCAGCAACATTCAACAACGATGAGAAAGACTTCCGCCATCTTTTAGCTTAAAGAACCAAGAGAAACCCCCTAAAAAATTGTTACAGAAAAATGGCTATGCAATTAATAAAGATCAAATCAACATAAAATATGCTAGGGCCCCTGTAAAAGACTTGAGAAATGAACAATTACAAGACTACAAGGGCAAAATACAATTAGCATTTCGTTGTGAGTTCAGTTCAAGGTTGAGCAAATAATCAAAATTACCACGGCTAACACAGCAGCTAACAGAAACAGAACAATCGTCAGTAAGCCCGTTAACTAGAGTACAGATTTGCGATGAAACATGAGGTTACGCAGCAAGAGACCCAAACTTATCAAATATAATCTAAACAAGGTACTGATAAATAAGCAAAATAGATCCACAGTGGACGAATCTTGTTCCTCGGAAAATCCTGGTGTCTCTCTGACAGAAATCGATAAAAACATACATATTTCAATTTCCAATTCAATGTTGATCAATGGCTCCCCCCACAAACACCGCAACAATCCCATTCCCATAAAAAAATCAACATACTTGCAATTCAGGACTAGTCCTCAAAACAAAGGACCCAGCTTCGAAATTTGTTCCCTGCCTTCTCAATTGCACATTTATACTTCTCAAACAAGAAAAAAAAGACTCGAAAACCCAAGGGTGATGGCGAAATCGAATGTAATCAAATGGGGGTATAACTAGTTCTGATAGTCTGAGTTCCCACAAAGGAAAACAACACACTTTCCTCGTCGAGAAACAAATCCTCAGTAACCCTAAACGCAGCGTGCAGACCAACGAACAACACTGCGACGATCAATGACAGCAAGACGTTGAGGCCAACGTCAGTGGAGACGAGCGCAGCGACAGTGATGACGGCCAAAACGCAGAGCACGGTTCGGTCGTCGAGGGTTTGGTTGAAAACGACGAGGGGGCCGTGGCGAGAGAAGTAGAAGTAGTACCAGGCAACGAGGACGAGGAGGAAGACGATCATGGAAATTGGATGCCAGAGGAGGCTGAGGAACACGATAAGAAGCGTTACGGCGGCGTAGTTGTAGCGGAAGTAGCCGAGGTTTCTTCGGAGTCGGGTCATGGCGTCGTCGTAGGAAAAGGGGCGTGAGAGGGCTGAGAAGTCCAGGAACTCGCGCCATGGCCGGGGTGTGACGGATGAGATGGTGGTGCCCGGTGGGATGGTCGCGGCGGTGGCGCCGGCGATGGTGCCGTAGCCGGCGGTGGGAATGTTGGACATCTGGGAGCGTAGGTTAGATCTGGAAGTGTGGCATGTCTGTAGATGCGATTTGATTGAGAATTGATTCGAGATTGAGGGGGAAAATATGGATTGTGACTTTCTTTTTTATTTCCCTTTTCCCCTCTCTTTAGGGTTCTTTCATTTCCTTTGCTTTGTCCCCGTTTCACTTTCCAGCAAAATTATATTTTATAAAATTAATAGGCTAATTTGCAATTTTAATAATATATTGTTTAAGCAAAATAAATTAAATAAACCAAATCGATTCAAAATATAGATTAATCTGCACCAGCACAGCATACATGTTTTGTGAGAGAGGAATAAAATAAATTTGGTAGGTAGAAAGTGAGAAAAAGGAGTAAGAAATATAATAAAAATAAAGATTTTCTGGTTGAAAAAATAGAGTAAGAATTCAATTTAATATTTTATATAAAAAATATAAATTATTTTGTCTTTATCAATAATATTAACAATTAACAAAAAAAACTTCTAAGATTGATTATATTTTTTTATTAATTCTAAAAATTTTAAAATATCAATTATTAATTTTCTGATGGTAGTAAAAAAATAATGTTTTTTTGCAAGAAGATGGCACAAGGAGCAGTTACATTTTGCAAGAAGATGATGAAGTTTTACAATGAAGTTACGTGAAGAAAGGATGTCCTAAGCTAAGGATGGGGCGGAACTCATCTACCGAACATATATACTCATAATTGATGTGACGTCTCTTGAGTCATGAGTATGTATCTTCACAATCCACGTTAAGGAGAGGCCATATCCTAACCCCTGTATGCTATTGTTTATCGTATTTTACCATGTCACCCAAAAATTGCTATACCAATTCCAATACACCCTGCCAGAGTCAGTTTGGGATTAGAACAACACGAAGAGGAAAATTTTAAATGGCTGAAGAAAATCTGGCTCATCATAATTTCCTCCACCACTCTGCTACTCTGCTCTCACCAGCTTCCATATTCGACCCTCTCAGTTTCTTCCTCACTTCATTTTGTTCTGCTTTTTTTTCTTCCCCTCTGTACAAAACATTCCATACTTTTCCTCAAGAAGACTGCATCACAGAACACGCTACGGCCTGAGCCCAATGCCTTAACTTTGTCTTCACATGTTCAGGGTCATCCCCTGCATACCATTCCAATTCAAATTAATAATTGCAAACCATTACAAAACCTTGTTAATGAGTAGTAACTGAGAAATTTGCTTGGTGTCAGAAAAAAGAAGGTTGTTGTAAGAGGATTCAATGGAGAAGATAAAGAGACCTGGGCAACAAATCTTCCAGGAGTCAGTGTCACTTCTGGGGCTTCCGAACGACGAAGAACGGCCTCCGAGGGAAGAGGCATTGCTCTGAGGGGTGGATACGGGGCTGGGAGACAACCTGCGATTGACAGCGAAATAAAGGTCGAGTGCGGGCAAGGTGTTACACAGTCTCTGACCATCTTCCTCGTTGAATCCGAAGCCAAGTTCTATACACCCTTTAAGCTCATGCAGGTCCTCGTCCGTCAGATCATCACACACCGTCGAACTCCTCCTCCGTTCCTGCATGCGCCTTCTCTCCCAAGCAATATCTCTCGGCTTCTCGCACATGGACAGCTGCTTCGACAACGTCTTCCTGTTCTTCCACAGCGGCGGCGCCAACAGCATGTGCTGCAATTCCTCTTCCGACTCGCTCGCCGATGAAGAAGAGGAGGAGGAAGGCGACACCGTATCGTGATGGTGCTGCTGCTGACTATGATGCTTCTGCTTTTCCTCGCTCATAGCTGCAACGCAAAGGGGTGGTCGTGGAAGAATTAAATTGACGGTGCGGTTGTGACGGCGGAGGCAGCAAGGGGGAGGCACCCTGCGTTGCCTCGCCGTGAAGGGTAGATGGTTTAGGGTGGATAAATTAATTAACGAATTGAAGGTGGAGTGCGATAGGGAAAAGGGTGAGGATAGAGTGTTCTAATATTGGGGGGTTTTGAGTTGGAGCTTTGAGATTCCACCGTCCATTTGCAACTGTCATCACCACCATTTTAGGTGCAATATTTAGTAGGGTACGTTGTATGTTGTGCTTTATTCAAGGGCGTAGCTACATTCCGGTGAAATCTTTGTGATCGTACGTAACAATTATTAAACAAACAAGCTTTGCGGTTTCCTATATTCCTTCCACCTTCACTCCTGCGTACTAATATTGCCATTGCAACTGATTCAGTTCACTCTCCACTTCACTCTTCTTCTCACTTTCTGCATTTTAACCAACCCCAACCTGTCACCAACTACATTCATGCAACAGATTTCACGTACCAGTCCAAAATAAAAGAACCTTACCCCGTTTCCCGCATCGAATCATGTAGCTCTGCTTCTAATTAGTGTTTTCAAACCCTAAGTTTATGCATGGCTTGTAAAATTAGAATCAGAAAATCACCTACAAAATAAAAAACAGAGCTTGTCATTCGATTCTCTGTTCACACTACCGAGTAGAGATTCAGCAAGGTGTTCGTATAAAAAAATATTTTTTTCAAGTTTCCAAACCCTGTCATACATAAATCGATGCTTCAAACATTACTCATTTATTCAGTAAGTTTAACTAAAAGTTTGAGTTTGGTTTGTTGAAAAAAATATAAATTTTGATCTTGATTTATTTATCTCATTTCATAACTCAATTAATTTTGGTTTTATAGAAATTTTATTAATAATAAAACTTCAACTTTGAAACCAATCTTCGAGTATCTCAATAAACACAAACTGAACCTAAATAATTTAGGAATAGTTTCTCCTACTCACCATGATATACCTTCTTGCAAATACATATTTTATCCAAAAACATCTTTCTTTATCAGAGAAGATAATTACACACACACACACATATATATATATATATATATATATATATATATATATATATATATATATATATATATATATATATATATATATATATATATATATATATATATATCTTTTTTTTATGGAAAAAAATCACAAACATCATTATTTTTATTCTTGAAAATTATTCTAATAAAAAAAATAATCAACACAATAAATAAAAAAATACTATTATTTTAGATAAGTAAAACTTTTTACATAATATTTTTTCATGTTTTTTATCCTAAATATGTTTACACTCATTAAAAAAATAATTTAAATTAAACCTTACCATAAAATTTTTTATAAAAAAATATTTTTTCATCTCTTTGATTTTAAATACACTCGCACTTTTAAAATAAAAATTAAAATTAAACCTTATATTTATATTCTCTAAATAAAAAATTTAAACTAAATCTCACCATATTCTTTTAAAAAGTATAAAAAAAAGTTAAATACATATTTAAAAGTATTTTTGACTAAAATATCAAAATATTATAAATTTTTAATTTATTATATATATTATTCAATGTAATATAAAACTGTTTAAGATATATTATTTTGATTATATATATATATATATAATATATAAATATTTTTTAATTTTGTTTTATCCGAAAGGGAAAAATATAATTTATATTTATATTATATTTTTTACATTTTTTAATTGTAAAGTTTTATAAAAAAATCGAATATAAAATAATTAAAAAAATATAATTTTATTCTTTATTACAAGTTCACTTTAATTTTTCTTTCTCCTTAAAATCAATTTAGACGTTTATTTATATTTAATAATTTATAATTTTATAAATAAATATTTTTATTTTAAAATTATTTTATACATTAAATTTTAATAAATTAAAGTAAAAAATATAATAGAAATACGGACATATTATCATCTATTTTTTTATTAGTGTTATAAAAAAAATAACCATCGATCCAAACTGTGAATATTCTTTACAACTTTTGAAAATTTTCACAATAATTTAAAATTTCCAGATATGAATTTGAAAAATAATTTTTTATATATTCATATCTAACTACAAAAACGAGTTTTCTTTTCTTTTTTTATAAATTGTAAATTAATTACAATTTTTTAAAATTCACTTTATCTAAATCTGAGATTTCGTGCCTAGAGCCAATCATGAAAGAAAAGGAAAAAAAAAAATTCTGAAACTGACAAGGATATCTCTATTTTATTGAATTAATTCATTCTTATTTACAAGCTGTACTACTTCATATTGAAATTAAAATTGACCCAAAAAACTGTACTGTAAAGAAATGGCTTAATTGATAGTTGATTTAATAATGCGTATAGAAAAAAAAAAGTCACGTGTAATTTAAAATACATGTCAATATATTAAAAAAAATACATATTACAAAATATATATCATACTCGAATTTTCAATATTTTATTGATTGGTTTTCTCATAAATTTTTTACAGGAAATATTTTTTAAAATTTATTACGAATTTTAATTTATAGATAATTTGTGAAAAAAAGTAAGTTTTTGATGAAAAAAAATCGTGAATAATATATCATTTTTATTCTCAGAATTAGTAATAAGAAAAAAATAATTAATACAAAAATATAACGTATAAACTCTAAAATTAAAGAAAAACCATACAAGAATATAACATAAAAACTCAACAAAAAACTATAATCATTATCTAATGATAGTTAGAGAATAATACATTGTGAAAATTTGTACAACATATAGACAATTATGTCATGTCTTTTTATCTTATTTGCATTCACACAATTTAAACTAAATCTAGCAATATTCTATTAAAAAATATAAAAAAAGTTAAATACAAATTTAAAATATATTTTTGAGTGGATGTCAATACCATGCACTTTAAGTCATTATATAACTACTATCACCAATTCTATTATTTATCTAATATGACATCTAATTTTTTAAAATGTATTATTTTTATTAATTTGATAGTTTTTTTTTTTCAATTTTAAAGCATGTTTGCTTGGTAAGGGTTAGGGTTATATGTAAACCCAATCATGTAGATTCAGCAAAAAAAATTAATTAATTTTTTATTAGTTTATAAATATTATAGTTTGTTTGTTAATTTAATTTTTTAAAATAAGATTTAACTTTATGAAAATTTAAGATTTTTTTATTTTATTACTTAAAGTCATTGTAATTAAGGTAAGGAAAATTATTTATTTTTCAATTTTTTTATTAACCTAGATTAAAAGATATGAATTATGAAAACAATTTTGTCACATTGTTTATATTGAAAAAAATAAATTAATTATATGATTATATATGTGTTATTTATGTAATGATTGTAACTCAATGTGAATTAATTATTTATTTATGTATGATTCAAAATAACAGTGTTTTGTTTGATTTTATTATAATTATATTGAATTTGTTCACAATTTGGATGGTACTATTTAGAATTAATTTGTTTTAGAGTTTTGAAAATAAGATATGTGACATGTTATCTTGTGTGACATTCTCATCAAATCATCTAATAAATTTAGTTTTACTCATCTGATCTAAGGTGATCTAAGGTGTTGTTTTTTAAATTCCACTAAATTCATTAAATGGATTAATTAAATTTTTGCCCTAACAAAATATAATTTTGCTTAACAAAAATTTGATAGTGAAAGTATATAGATTATCCACTTCCTTATTTAAAAGTATTTTGATAATTCACTTGTCCATTTAAATTTCACTTAGTAAATTTTAGATTTGCTTAGCGTTTTTTTTTCTTTAACAGTTTTTAGTAAAAAAAAAGAAAAAAAAACTTTTTGTTAGATCTTTAAGGGCTTTAAAATAATATTTTTAATTGAATGAAATTAACTTTTATGTATCTTTATATTTTGAATGTTAAGTTGAATACTAAATCAATATATATATATATATATATATATATATATATATATATTTATTTATATGGTTTAGTGTTTATGAATATTGATTTATGATTTCAACAGATATTTTAACTTCATTAATCATTAAAATTATATAGATGAAACTATCAAATTATATTAAGGTGTGAAGAAAAAATCTGGTGGATAAATAATATAGTAAATTATCCTAGTCACATAAAAATATATTTTAAATACATAGAAAACTGTGATAAGATAAATATATATATAATGTTTAATTCAATCTCTAATTATAGATGAAACAGTTTTCCAATTACTTATATAATTTGTGTGAATTGAATTCATGTGATATATTACCTTTATAATGTACTTGTGTAATATTCATTTCATTGTAATTATTATTTTATAATAACTTTAAATTTTATATATTTATTTTAAATTATTAACGTATTTTATGTGTTATTTTTAATATATGACTATATATGTATTTGTTATTTTTATTAACTTCATATTTCATGGTTTTTTATATGTATTTATATAGAAAAATTTTATATTTTAAATTATTTTTAACATTTAAATTTTCATGATATATATATATATATATATATATATTGAATTATTACATAATTCATTCGTAAATAATTAATAATTTACAAATTTAATAACCGTATTTTCCAAAAACAAAAATACAAGAAATTTTTACTGCAGATTTTTTAAGAATTTAAAATTTACAGATAATTTTTTGAAAATTTTTAATTTTCCAAAAAAGAAGTCTTATTATTCTCTTACAGTAACTATTTACTCCAATGAAATTGCTAAATCAATGAAAAAACACTTCATAATTTATGAATTATAATCTCATAATTAATTTAACACAGGTTTCAGTTTTTGTAACTTTAATCACTATTCGGTGAGTGAAAAGGAGTCAAAAGTTGACTAATTATTTTTTTTTCAAATTTTTTTTATTTTCTCTATTTTTTTAATTGTGGAAAATGTTAAAATGATAAGATACTATGAAAAAATATAATAAATTTATTATTTATTTTTATTAAATTGTGTAATATAATATTAAAAAATAGTAGATATTAATAAAAACAGTAGAAATATCATAAAAAATTTGTTTGAGATATACCCAACTAAGTTAAAACATTTGTTCTGTAATTTAGTAAAATGTGATCATAATAATACGAGGATCAACAATATTAAAATTGTGTAAAAACCAATTTTAACATACTTAAACTTTTCTAAGTCAATCTATTATTGGTATTAATTAATCAATATTTTGATATTAAATTTAAATCATATAAAACTGAGCATTAATGAGTATTAGTGTGATGTGTATAATTTTTGTTGCAGGTAATTAAAGTGGTGACATGTTCAGTTTGTTCCTTTCCAATACTGTGAGCAGAAAATGACAGATTGCCACTCTCCAAATTCTATGGAATTGAAATGCTAAGATTAGGTCAAATTCGCCGGTTTAGGATTCAAAGAATGTTGCAACCCCTAAAAACCTAATTACGATTCTCACTCTCTATCATTAGTTCCTAACAGGGAAAAAAAAAAAACTTCCAAAATCGAAATCAGAAGCGAACCAAAACAGACTAGCTCCTCGTAAAAAAGAAAAATAAAATAAATAATAAATAATAAAGTTCAGGCTCGTGTTGTGTTCTTGCCTGGTTTGGTCCGGTTCTACCATTCCAGGCTAACTTCTACACCTGCATGAACGATCGACGACGATGATGGATAGAGTTGCAACCATCGTTTCCATCTCATAGCACAAACACCAATCCCAAAACCGTTTGTTGTTGTTAGTTTCTGGCGTACAGGAAAACGGAATGAAACAAAACAAAACAAAAGAAACCCTTTTTATTCACGTTTTTGCCTCGTAACTCATCACCCCACAACGCAAAATCTTTTCCTGTACGCCGCTTAGTGTGATCTTCTACTTTTCATTCATTTCCCTGCTTCAACCATGCACTCCCGTGCGTGTCTCTTGCTGCTGATTTGTTTCCCCGTTTTGTTAAACGCCGCACCCTCCTCTGCCAATGGTGGCAACGAGTCCTTAATCTTGGGGTGTGGGTTGGGAGGAGGTGGTGGCAAAGACACCGACGGAAGAAAATGGAGCCCCGACGACAAGTACCTTTCACGGGGAAATTCCGTCACATTCAAAGCTTCCTTCCAAGACCCTTCGCTTTTGTCCGAGGTTCCATACATGACTGCGCGAATTTTCACCTCCGAAGCAGCCTACAAATTCGCCATCCAAGGCGACAAACGTTACTGGCTCAGGCTTCATTTCTACCCCTCCGTTTACGACAACTTGGACTCTGTTAACTCTTATTTCTCCGTCAAAGCAAACGGCCTCACGCTTCTTTCCAACTTCAGCGCCTTCGTCACGTGCCAAGCCCTCTCACAAGCCTACGTTGACAGAGAGTATTCCCTTGCGCCTTTGGATTCCGACGTTCTCAACGTTACCTTCACGCCCTCTGGCAAACACAATGAAACTTTTGCTTTTGTTAATGGGATTGAGCTCATCCAAATGCCTGAGTTGTTTGACGAGGCTCCTTTGGTGGGGTACGATGGCCAAACTATGGACACCAAGAGTTTGCATTTACAGACCATGTTCAGGTTAAACGTTGGAGGACAATACATATCTCCAAATGAAGATTCTGGTCTTACCAGAATGTGGTACGATGATAGGCCTTATATTTATGGTTCTGCCACTGGTGTCACCAACCAAGCTACCAAGGATGAAAAAATCGACTATCAAAGTCTTCCAGAGTCCATTGCTCCTCCCAGTGTCTACTCCACTTCGCGATCCATGGGAGGCGATAAGAATGTCAACCTGGGCTACAATCTCACGTGGATCTTCCAAGTTGATCCGGATTCTATCTACCTTACCCGGCTGCATTTCTGTGAATATCACTATTCCAAAGTGAATCAGATTGTTTTCAAAGTCTACATCAACAACCAAACAGCAGAGACTGCTGCTGATGTGATTGGGTGGTCAGGAGGTAAAGGAATTCCAACTTACAAGGATTATGTAATGTATGCGAGAGATCAGCCAGGTGACGATAAACTCTGGCTTGCTTTGCACCCTGCGCCTGAAACAAAGCCAGAATTTTATGATGCGTTACTCAATGGGGTGGAGGTGTTCAAGCTCAATGACACAGACCTGTCTGGCCCCAATCCTCAACCTTCTGACATGCTGGTTAAATATGAGCAGAAGGAAAAGACTTTCCAAACCAAAAATCAGACTAGTAGAACATTTGTTATTGGCAGTGCTGCTGGGGGTGCTGCAGGTTTTGCTTTGGTGGCTGCAATAATTGTTGTTGTTCATCACAAGAAGAGAAAGAGAGCTCCGGGATCATACACCACCTCGTCTAACTGGTTACCTCTTTATGGTTCGCACACAGTAGGTACCAAATCCACAGGGTCAGGGAAGAGTATGGGCAGTGTCAACTTATCAGCCATGGCTCAAGGATTGTGCCGCTATTTCTCCTTACAAGAAATGAAGCAAGCAACCAAGAATTTCGATGAGTCTAATGTGATAGGGGTGGGAGGGTTTGGAAAGGTTTACAAGGGTGTTATTGATAATGGGTTCAAAGTGGCAATCAAAAGATCGAACCCGCAATCGGAACAAGGAGTGAACGAGTTCCAGACTGAGATTGAGATGCTGTCCAAGTTGAGGCACAAGCATTTGGTGTCCTTGATTGGTTTTTGCGAGGAGGGTGATGAGATGTGTCTGGTTTATGACTACATGGCTCGTGGCACCATGAGGGAACACCTTTACAAGGGAAACAAGCCATTGGACATGTTAACATGGAAGCAAAGGCTGGAGATCTGCATTGGAGCAGCAAGAGGCCTTCACTACCTTCACACGGGAGCAAAATACACCATCATTCATCGAGATGTCAAAACAACCAACATTCTCCTTGATGAAAACTGGGTTGCCAAGGTTTCAGATTTTGGACTCTCCAAAACAGGTCCAGACATGAACAAAGGTCATGTTAGTACCGTGGTGAAGGGTAGCTTTGGATACTTGGATCCCGAATATTTCAGGAGGCAACAGTTGACTGAGAAGTCTGACGTGTACTCGTTTGGGGTTGTGCTGTTTGAGGCCCTTTGCGCAAGGCCTGCTCTCAATCCTAGCCTTCCGAAGGAACAGGTAAGCCTTGCAGAATGGGCATTGTACAACAAAAGAAGAGGAACACTTGAGGACATCATTGACCCAAACATCAAAGGGAAGAGCAACCCTGAAAGCTTGATCAAGTTTGCTGATGCAGCTGAGAAGTGTGTGTCTGATCTTGGATTCGAACGACCCTCCATGAATGACCTGTTGTGGAATCTCGAATTCGCTCTAAACTTGGAGCAAAACCCCAAGGGTTCAACTGCTCCACGTGAGGACGAAGGTGAGTTCTCAGAAGTAAGCTTGACAAACAACGACGTGGCAGCTCATTACAAAAACCTTAGCCTAGGAAGCGAGCTTGAGGTTGTCCAAGACTCCACTAATGGTAGTAGCTCTCCTGTCATCTTCTCGCAAATTGGCAATCCAACAGGACGATGAACATAAACTACAAATGGAAGCCAGGCCAAGATTACAGAACCAGCGTTTAGCTTTGGTTTTAGAGTACTCAGTTTTATTGTTTCTTCTATTCATTGGATTTTCTTCTTCTAGTTTCTTCCGCAGATGTAACGTTAAATAGCTTATTAAGTCTAATTGTCTATAGAACAATAGCAACCTGTATCAGAAGACGGCAAAACAAGCTTTCCCTACTTCTTGTGTATAATATATAGCTTAATATATATAATGTTAATGTGTTATATAAATGTAGGTGGACACATAAGGATCCAAAAATATCTGATCATTTTTGTTTAGAGTGATTGTAAATGATAGGAAGAAAGAGATCAAAGATAGAGACCATCAATGTAAACCTCAAATTTCGGGGATATTTGGATTTTTTGTTTTTATGTCATATCAGACTTTTTTATTGTGACTGAGAAAATTAATATTTTTAGAAATAAGACTTCATTAAGATGTAATCATCTTCTTGTATATCTCTTCATCATTTTCTGAAGATATAAAGAAACACTGTTATTGGAAACTAGCAATTCTATCATTCTAAATTTAATATTCTATAATAATTCTATGCTATTTGTCTTTTTAACTTATACTTTTGTGAAAAAATTATGAATCTGCATTCAAGATTTGCAACAAAACAGTGAATATGTAAAATATTTTGAAAACAGTGTTTTCCATAATAAATTAAATGGTATAAAACAGACCAAATAACATTGACACTCACTAATTCAGTAGGTTAGTCTATCACTTTTGTGGATGATCATTGTTTTAACTTCATTAATCTACCATCTATCAATAACTTATATACTGAAGTATGCATATTACATATAAATATAATTTAAAAAAAAACTGAAAGACTTATTTATTATGCCTTCTGTATATGTTTTTACAAGTGGTTAATATTTGTTTCTAATCTTTAAATTTTGTATGAAACAAGACATATTTATTGAAAGTAACCAATGAAAATAGGAGAAAGAGAAAGACACTCATGAGAAGAGAATAAGATGTTTGACTTAAAAGACAAGAAAGATATAAATAAGAGAAAAAATGTTAAATAACTACTTTGGGTTTTTCTAAAAGATAAAAATTCGTTTTGCGATTACATCCAATTAAAAATTTGTTTATTAAAATTAAAAACTAAAGGATATTACAATTAGTGAGGTTTAACATTTGATTTCTATGGTTATAACTGAAATCTAAGTAAAAATTAAGAAATTTATGACGATATATTAATATCTTGAAACTTTAAGTTAAAAAGTGTTTTATTATAAATAGATAACGTTTTATTATAATTTAATTATATTTCAGTTGCACATGATATATATATATATATAAAGAAATGTTAATTATATGATATTTTGTTTTATAAAATAATTTACTCTTTAGTCATTGTAGACATTCTGATTTATTATATTTTAATTGTCTTAGTAATAAATAATTTATCTATAATGTAAATAATATAGGATGGATTTTTCTTTTGGGTGGTAATCGATTAACTAGGGTTCATAGGTAGGGATGACAATCACATTCATATATGTGGGGATCGATCCGTTCGTTCCGAGTTTGACAGGGAAAAAATAAGTTGATTAGGTTCGGGTTCGAGTTTAGGGTTTAAGGTTTAGGGGGCAAAGATGAGTGATGAAATCCCCACCATCCCCGCCCGACTTTATATTTAAACCTAAATTCTAAATTAATCCTTTATGTCTTTGTCCGATTGTCTTCTCTTCTTTCTTTTTTTATGTTACATGTTAACCTTTGGTTTTCTTTTATATATATATATATATATGGAAAATGATACTTTGACAACTCAAATCCATATAACTCCTAAACAACTCTCTTTTAATATTATAATAATAGTTTTAATTTATTTTTATTTTTATTAAATCATTACTGTAGATTATTATATTAATAAAAGTGAGTTGTTTGAAGGGTTGTATGATTTCCGATTGTCAAAATATCATCACTCTCATATATATATATATATATATATATATATATATATATATATATATATATATATATATATATATATATATATATTTAAATTTAAATCCTAAGATATAACCCTTTGTCTTTTCATATTATCTTTTTTGTCTTCTTATAATACCCTTTATCTTCTCATATTAGGTAGTGTGTTCCTTCACTTCACTTTACTTCCATCTTTTCTTAATTTCTTTATCTTTGTCAATCTCTTTACAACTAGTCTTAGTTCAACTCACATTTGGCTTCTCCTATCTCTTTAACTAGTTTGACTTCTCTAAATGACTTCTCCAATATCTTCAACCAATTTTTCGAACGTATAAGGTAATTTTTTATTTATTTATCTTTTTCTAAATATGTACATCAATCTTAGTATCATTTTATTTTTAATTTGTTTTATTAGATTTCTATTATATCATGTTTTCTAGGTTTACTATTCTTATTTATCATATATCATATCTTATGTTAATTAAATAATTATATTTTTTTATCTTTTATGACCAATGTAATTTTAAAAAAATAAACAGAGGAAAACATGGTAAAAAAGAAAAAAAATTTAGGCAATCAATAATACATGTCTTTGTTTATGGTGGTAGAGATTTTTTTTATATAAGGGAAAATAATGAAACAACACAAGCAAATACACATGAACTATTGTTAAAGGAAAATCATAACCTTGATGGTCATACTCCTACATCAAATGAAGTCCTACCAGTAGTTGGAGATAATGAGCATGATGAGACTATATCATCATGATCAAATTGGCTTAAAAGTAAGATTTGACAATATTTTCAAAAGATTCAAGTTAATGGAGAGGACAAAGCTCAATATAATTATTGTAAGAAACTTTTGGGAGAAAAATAAAAAATAGGACGAAACACCTATGACAACACAATGATAATTGTATTCAATTCAGGATTTCTATTAAAGGAAAAAAAGGGCAAATATTTGTTACCCCTAAAGCTATGCAAGGTAAACAAGAGTTGGATACATGAATTTATGATGCAGAGCATGCAAGAAAAGAACTTGCACATGCAATTATTATGCATGAATATCCATTTTTAATTGTAGATCATATTGGTTTCAAGAGATACTCATATGTTTTCCAACCAGTATTTCAAGTTCCCTGTAGAAATACTATTAAAAAGGAAATATTCAAAGTTTACAAGTCTAAAAAATCAATAATTTTGAAGTCATTGGATAGCCTTGAAGGAAGAGTGACTATAACATCAGACATATGGACTTCAGGTAATCAACAAAGAGGATATATGGTTGTCACTGCTCATTATATTAATGATTCTTGGAACTTATAGAGTCACATTTTAAAGTAATAAATAACATTCCTAATCATATTTTATATTATTTTTATTTTTATTTTCGTATGGTAAAATGATTGAATATTGATTAAATTTATGTGAATATTATTATGTTATGTTCATTTATGTTCTAGCTCCTCACACAAGTGATAAACTTTGTAATATATTAGTTGAATGTTTGATGAATTAGAACATTGATACAAAATTATCCACTATCACCCTTGATAATTGTAATACAAATGATGTTATGATTGAAAAAATTAAGGGTAAATTGCAAATTAACACTTTATTGAGAGATGAAGATTTATTTCACATATGTTGTTGTGCTCATATATTAAATTTGATAGTCAAAGATGAATTAGAGGTAGTGAAAGATGAGGTTGAAAAAATTTTTGGGTAGTGTAGCGTATTAAACTACAACACCTAAGAGAAAAGAAAAGTTTGAAGAAATAACAAAGCAATTGCGCATCTATTGTACTAGGAGCATGATTTTAGATTGTCCAACAAGATGGAATTCAACGTACAAAATGCTTAAAATTGTCATAATATATGAAGATGTGTTTAATCGATTGAAGCAACAAGATTCTCAGTATACTTGTTTGTCAATTAGTTTACAATGACAACTTCTAAAGGATGTTTGTAAAAGGTTGAAATTGTTCAATTTTATAACAGAATTATTTTTTGCTACTAAACATCCAACTGTTAATTTGTATTTTCTCAATATATGTGAGATTAAATTGACATTGATTGAGTAGATTGCATCTCCGAATGAAGTGATTAAAAAAATGTCTGAGAACATGTTGTTCAAATTTGATAAGTATTGGAATGTGATTCATGTTAGTCGCTACTATTTTGAATCCTAGATACAAAATGGAGTTACTTGAATATTATTATGAAAAGTTGTATGGTTATGAATACTTTTTGCAAGTTAGGATGATTCATCAATTATTTTATGACTTGATTTTTTAGTATCAAACAAAAATGAATAAAGACACAGTTGGTGAGTCTCTAACAAGGGATGATACTAATGTTGTTGGTGATGCATTAATTGAGTATGACAGGTATATTTTGAGAAAAAAAAAAGGCAAGAAGTAATATGTTAAGACAGAGTTAGATCATTATTTAGAGGAAAAAGTTATACCAAGAAAAACTGATTTTGATATTCTAATGTGGTGAAAATTGAATGGAGTCAAATACCCAACACTTCAAGCAATTGCTAAAGATGTATTAGCTATCATTATCTTCACTGTAACTTCTGAATCTGCATTTAGTACTAGTGTTGAAATATTAAGCCCCCATCACAATTGACTTCATTGGACTACTCTAGAGGCTTTGATGTGTGCTAGAAGTTGGTTATGGAGTGCTGAAAACAGTGGTAATGTTTTATATACCTTTTTAAATATAAAATATTACCATTATTTTCAGCACTCCATAACCAACTCCTAGCAAGCATCAAAGCCTCTAGAGTAGTCCAATGAAGTCGACTGTGATGGGGGCTTAATATTTCACTACTAGTACTAAATGCAGATTCAGAAGCTATAGTGGAGATAGAGATAACTAATACATCTTTAGCAATTACTTGAAGTGTTGAGTATTTGACTTCATTCAACTTCCAACACATTAGAATATCAAAATCAGTTTTTTATGGTAAAACCTCTTCCTTTAAATAATGGTCTAACTCTGTCTTAA